AGTCTTGATAATTGTTGCTTTGTAATAAGTTTCTCTGTTCTATTTTAGGCAACCCAAATTATGTTGTTGGGTATATGTGCTGCTGAAGCAAGCACATGTCTCTGGGTATAAAGTGAATTGAAATTAATAAAGTTTATTTAGCTTGCAGCTTTAGAGTTTGAAGGACCAAGGTTAGATGGCCTCGTTGGTTCTGCTTTAGTGAGAGCACCCTTGGCTGCATCACTGCATGGGGAGAAGCCTAAAAGGAAATGGCCATTTGCAGAGGATCCAAGCCCGTGGGATAACTTCATTGTATAAGATCTTGCTCTCTTGGCATTAATACCTTATGAAGTGGTGCACTGTGATCTAATTTGCTTTACACTAAGCCCCATTTGTTAAAAGGTTTTACCACCTCAGCACTGCCACCCTGGTGACTAGCATTTCAGCAGTCAGGTTCGTCAAACCACGGTAAGCAAGTTCAAACCCGGGACCATGTGCATCTAGGCACTGATTTGCATCAGCAGCCCTTTTTATTTGGAGGCAGAGTTTTGTTAAGTTGTCCACCCTGACCTCAAACTCATGTTCCTCCTGCCTCAGTTTCCATAGTAGCTGGGGTTACACATGTGCAATACCATGCCTGTTGTGGCTTAAGTTTTTTTTGTTTGTTTGTTTTGGGGTTTCTTTTGTTTTGTTTTGTTTTGTTTTGTTTTTTCCAGTACCAGGAACCGAACTCACGACCTTGCGCTTGCCAGGCAGGTGCTTTGCCGCTGAGCTAAATCCCCAGCCCCGAGGCTTAAGTTTTTTTTTAAAGCAGTTTTAGTTCATAGCAAAATTGAGAGACAAGTACAGAGATTTGCTATATACTCCCTGCCCATACACATGCATAGTTTCTCCCGATGGCAGTATACCTGTCAGAATGGTACATTTGTTACAGTTCACTGTTATTGACATATAACAGTCATCCAGCATCGATAGTTTACTAAGGATTCTCTGTTGGTGTTAGACTGTCTGTGGGTTTGGTTAAAGGTACAATACTGATTTACCATTGTATTACTGCACAGGGTTGTTTCCCTGCCTTAAAAATTCTTGGAGCTCTGCATATTCTTTCCTCCCATCTGTCCCTCTTGGTAGCCATTGTTTTTATAGCCTCCATGGTTTTTCCTTTTCCAGAGGTGTGATTGAAGTACACAGTGAATATTTAAATTTAAAAAATTACAACATATGGCCCTTAATAACCCTCAAAATCCTCTTCCTTCAAACCCCCTTATCCCATCATTCTTGCCACTTTCTGAAGCAATTCTGGGAGTCCTCTTTCAGAGTGGCTTTATGAGGTGTGATAAAAATAGTGAATGCTGCTATGTGCTGTCCAATGGAAAAAGAGGCTCATAAAAGCATTATGATGTTCCTTATCTACCGTATTCACTGGATCTGGTGCTCCATTTTTTTATGGCTCCTCCCCAAAGTCAAAATGACCATAAAAGGTAAACGTTTTGAGTTTTTTTAGGACATTAAGGCATCCATGATAATACAGCTGAAGAGACTTGTGAAAGGATTTCTAGAACTGCTTCAGAAATAGTAAGAATGATAGGATAAGTGTTTCCAAAGTGAGGGGGAATATTTTGAGGATTAATTGCAATGTGCCTTTTACTGTAAAAAATGAAAACATTTAAACATTCACTGTATTTTTTCATCATACCATGTGTGTACTGGGAATCATATAGTATATAACCTTTTCAGGTTGCTTTTGTTCACTTAATATTATAGTTTTTTTACTTACCTGTAATTCTAGCACTTGGGAAGCTGAGGCATGAGTATTGTCTTGAGTTTGAGGCCAACCTGGGCTGCATAGTGAGTTCAAAGCCAACCACATAGTGAGACCCTGTCACCAAAATATAAATGTATAAACATATGTAGTCATATGCCACATGATGACATTTTGGTCAGTGATGGCCTGTATATCTCACAGAGGTCCTATATATATAGTCGTCCTTTGCTATATCACGGTTCACTTATTGCAGCTTCGCTGTATTGTGGGTTTTTAAAAAAAATATATCTAATTCTGTGTTGGGAGCAACTGGAGTTGGTTGTTGGTCATATGTCTTGAGGGTGGGACAGATCCAGAGTGCCTCAAGCAGTCAAGCTACCTCAGTATTGTATAGTCTTTTTTTTTTTTTTTTTTTTTTGGTACCGGGAATCAAACTCAGGACCTTGCGCTTGCCAAGCAGACGCTTATGCCACTGAGCTATATCCCCGACCCTACCCCGGTATTGTAAAAAGTATCCTGCTTGAACAATTACAGTCTTAGTCTTAGTCTTAGTCTTAGTCGCTAGGCAACATTATCTCTCATGATACTACTTTGCAAGTGTATAAAATAAATGCCTCTACTGTTGGAGTCAGTCCTCTTGCTCATCAGGCAAGAGGTAACTGCACCTGACCTTGGTTGTTGACTCTTGTCTTTATTTTCTAAATCCTTTTGCTGTTTTCTTCTGGGAACCACAGAGAGACCACTGACTCCCACAATTCTGTATCACAGAGTTTTCGCTATATTGCGGGATTTTGCAGTATATAGGTATTTATATAATATTTATGATTTTAATTATTTTTGCCTAAAACAATATAAAAATGTTAATTCAAGCATATTAAAAGAATATTAAATTGAAATAAAATACAATATGTATTTCATCAGCGGATGAATACATACTGTACACAATGGAAGTGCAGTATGCCACTAGTGCTTGCCCAAGTTTGCCAGTGTGAGACTGTGCATGGCACACTGTTGGCTGATGGAATTGAAGGTAACCAACCAGAGCACTGTGTTCTTTATCCTGGGTGTTGATTGGCTTAGTGACCATAGCATCAGTCTCTTCGTTCTCCTACACTGTGCCCATACATTCAGCATCTCTCCTTGTGCACTTCACAGTGAGTACCCATATAGAATTTTACATGCTGTTTAAAAAAATTGCATAGGTTTAAGAGTGTAGAAAGTGTTTAAAAGTATATGAAATGTTTATAAGAGTGTGGGAATGGTTAGTAAGAGAGTGGAAAAGGTTTATAGGAGTGTGGGAAGTGTTTCTAAAGCCTTAAAATATGTATAAACAATAAAATAAATATAATGCCCCTACTTCGTGGATTTTCACCTATCGCGGGGGTCTCTGGAATGCCACTCCTGCGATAGGTGAGGGATCACTGTTGCCTCATGATATCTTAGTAGTCTGTTTATCTGTGTGTTTGCTGATGTTTATGCATTGATGAAATTGAAATTAGCATACAGGAATGCTATTGCTTTTTGTGTGTACATTTTGTAACCTGCTACCTTACTGAATTTGGGTTACTCTAGAAGTGTTTTGGTGGATTTTTTAAAAATTGAGTCTTCTATATAGAGGCCTGTGCCATCTGCAAATGATAATTTGATTTTTTCCTTTCCTAAAAATAGCCCTTTCTTTCTTTTTCTTACCTAATTGCTCTTGGTAATGTTTTGTACATACTTTGTTGAACAAGAGTGGTGATAGTGGTCATCCTTGTTTTGTTCCTGATTTTAGAGGGAAATTTGGATTTTCCCCATTTAAAATGTGAGCAGTAGGTTTGTCATGAGTGACTTTATCAGATTGAGGTAAGGTCCTTTTATACTGATTTTCCCTGCTAGTGTTATCATGAAAGGATGTAAATTTCAACTAAAGGTAACAACTTCACCTCTGCTAGCATTTGAACAGCATTCAACAGTAATAGCATGAAGTTAATAGCTATTTAGAGATCCATAAGGTGGAGAGGGGTAAAAAATGAAAAAAGTGAATTTGAGAAATTAATCAATGGGATATGAGAAGGAGAAAAGAAAAGTGAGATGGGGGACCTCTTAAGGAGTAAAAGGAGATTAATAGTGTTAGAAAATAATTGCAGTAGCTGGGTGTGGTGCCGTATGCCTCTAATCCCAGCACTCAAGAGGCTGAGGCAGGAAGATTGCTTAGTTCAAGGCCAGCCTGGGCTAAACAAAACGAAACAAAACACTGTTGCAGAGCAATGAACAAGAAAAGATAAACAACAAAAATACCAGAAATAAAGATAAGAAAGAAGAAAAAAGTAGAATGGGGAAGAAAAAGAACAGGACAGAAAAGAAACTTTTTAGAACAGAAAAAGAAAAAAAGGTGAGGGGAACCCCAGCCCTCACCCCTCCAAAAAAAAACCTAAGGAAGGAAAGATAAAAATAAAAAAAAGTAAAATCATGAAAAGTTTGCCTGTCACAGTTTTCCCTGCCTAGCTTTATGGCCTGTGGAGTTTTGAGGTGCCCTTCCTCCCCCATCTGTCCATTCACCGGTTCTTTCAGAATTTTTTTAAAATTTTATTGGTACATTTTAGGTATACATAATGGTCACATTCATCATAGGGAATTCGTACTTGTACATGATATATCTTGGTTCTTTTCTCTCCCATTCCCCAACCCTCTCTTCAACCCCTCTTCTCCTCTGTTTACAAAAGCTTTATTTCCATTTTTTCTTTCTTTCTTTTTTTTTTTTTTTTTTTAAGAATTTATTGTGCTAAGTGTTCTCCAAGCTTCCTTCATGTATAGTTTGATATTTGACATTAGTTTGGGGGTAATTCTCAGTCATTATTATTTCAAATATTTTTTCTTATTTTTCTGTCTTCTGTGTTCTTGTTCACTAATTATACTTATTGTACTTGTCCCACAATTATTGGATATTTTGTTTAGTTTTATTTTTCATTGTTTATTTTTTTTTCAGTTTTGTGGATTTCTGTTAATATTCTCAAAGTCAGAGTTTCCTTAACCATGAGCAGTCTACTCATAAGGCTATCAAAGATATTCTTCATTTCTGTTACAAGATTTTTGATCTTTAACATTTCTATTTCAATTCTTCCTTAGAATTCCCATCTCTGCTTTGTATTCTTTGTCCATTCTTATGTGCTATGTAGTTTATCTATTAGATCCCATAAGAGATCAATTAAATAAATGATGGTGTAATTCCTTTTTTATTTAGTTTGCTTATGTTTCTTTTTTGCTTTCTTTTTAGGTTAATACAATCTGTTGGAATGACACTGGAGAATATATTTTATCTGGCTCAGATGACACCAAGTTAGTAATTAGCAATCCTTACAGCAGAAAGGTAAAGTGTTTGTTTTTCTTTTTAAAGAGACATGTGTCTAAAAAGTTTAATGAGAAAAAAATTCAAAAGCTGGAAATAAAGAAATTGTAAATAAACAGGGAGTTGGCATTTTCACATTGCTAAATTGAATAATTTAGAAGTTGTTACATGTAGGTCTTTTAGTTTCTTTAGGGATACATAAGATTTCAGTCAGCCTTATAAATTCTAGAAAATTTAAATATGCTTTGTTTTATCCATGTGGATAATAATTGCCACAAGTGATATTATCTCAGTAACACTGAGGGGAAAAAAGACCATGTGATTTTTCATAGGCAGAAATGTTTTTCAGTAAATTAATTTCCTTACCATTGTGATTTATTTGTTACATATTAGAAATAAATTTTAATTTTCACTCTTTGTGAAGCAAGGGTCTCTCCAAATGAGATGCTTTATTTTACCTTAAAAACACTTCGGGATGTAAATACTTACAGAATTGATGTATAGTGTTTAAGGTTTTTTTTTTTTCTTGGTGGTGCTGGGGATTGTAGGCGTGTTCCACCATACTTGGATTATTTTAACATTTTAAAACTTGCTTATGTTAATATTTAGAATAGTGTGACTAAAGCTGCCAAGCTTAGTCATTGTTTCGTTTTCTTATTCTCTTATTAATTTGAAATTTAGTCTTTTAAAAAGTTGCTTCACGTAGAAGTTTTTAGATAAGTGGCCAAGTGAGCGCCATGTGAAGAACTTTGATCTCTAATTCTTACTTCAGTAGCAGCTTTTATTATATCTACAGATCCTTTATACTTACCTGCAAATTACCCAGGGTGGCCTTCTGTTCTATGAACATGGGTAAATAATTATTTTAAAATTTGTAAGATCTTTAATATTCAGGATCCTTTAAAGTTCTAATTGAGAATACGGTTGTTCTCCTGTCCTGGAGCGTTTGTTCCAAATCTGCTGTAGATGCCACAATCTGGGGATGCTCTCAGTTCCCTGGTGTAAAATAGTGTAATGTTTGCACAGAACCCAAGTCCTTACGCTTGCGTCACCTCTGGATTGTTCGGTGTTTCATACAATGTAAGTCCCAGGCACATAGCTGTTAGACTGCATTCTTCAGGGAATAATGACCCCAAAAGGTTAGTAATGATAAAATGAACAACTTCTTTGTTTTGTAACATTTCAGTGGTGGCTGGTTGAGTCTGCAAAAACAGAACTCATGCATAGAAAGTACTGTTCATTTCTTGGCTGCTTCACAACTCCTTTTTCTCTCTTTATTTTCTGTTTCTTATGTTCTTTAACATTTCTTCTAATAATTCTTCTGAAAATGTATCTTTTAAAAAATTATTTTTTTTATAGTAGTTGCAATTGAGCATTGGTGATTATATCAGTCAGGGTCCAGTAAGAAAAACCACACAGTAATTTCAACAGGGAAGCTTTAATTACAGATGATCAAAAAAAAAAGCCCAGAATTAATAGATACAATGAACTACCACTTGCCATAGGGCTAAGGTAAACTACCTGAAGAAGTGGCCTCCTAAACCTTCCCGGTACTAAGACCTAGATCTTACTGAACAAGGCGTGCCATGTCTCGCAGGGTGGCATAGGAGTTGCTGTAATGGCAGGCTAGGGGAACTTACTGGAAGGCCTCGTTCTGTGGTTCTGGAGAGGGCTGTTGAAGAAGAGACAGCACATCAAACAGTGTTCTGCAAACTATCCCAGGACTGGGGGAGGGAGGTGGAGATGCCGGTGAAGCTGCGGGCTGCTGGCTGTGGGCTGCGGGCTGTGGGCTGTGGGCTGCTGGCTGCGGGCTGCTGGCTGCGGGCTGCTGGCTGTGGGCTGCTGGCTAGTGTACTATTCATTTGGGAGCTGGGCCCTAAAGAAGCTCACCACCCTGCAGGACTCCTGTACTGTGGCAGAAGAGGAGCCTCCCATGACTGAGGGCCTAGATCTGAAGAATGCATCCATGCTGCATTGAGGGAAGAACCTCAGAAATAGGAATTAAATACTCTTTCCTTAAAACGTTCTTCTGGTACCTTTTCCCTTATTTGCAGTTAATCAAATTATAGTGGTGAATATTACAATTATAACAAGGCTTTATCCTTTTTAGTTAGTGATTATAGTAGGTCCTTACAATACATTGGTATTGTTTCAGTCAGCTTTCTTGTTGCTAGACACAATACCTGACACTCACTGTTTAAAGGAGGAAAGGTTTAATTTAACTCACAGTCTGGGGGAATTGAGTCTATAGTCAGCTTACTCCAACACAGAACCATCATGGCAGAAGAGCATGGTGAAGCTAAAAAGCAGCTTCATCTATGGTGGCCAGGGAGCAGAGCAGGGAAACAGCACGAGAGGACTGAATGACAGACCATATATAGTCCCCAAGGTCATGTCCCTATGACCCATCCAGGCACACCTAGGAGCATGTTCTACGAATCTGCTTGGCATTTTCTTAATCAGATAGCAGGATTAATGATCACAGGCCACCCCAAATAACCTTACATGCAAACACATCTCCTTAAACTTTACATAATCTCCAAATACAATACATTTATGATTCCACCTCATACAACTGACACATGTATAACTAGAAACGCAGTAATCCCTTTTCCAAAGTTTGAGAAGTTTGACTCCTCACTTGGGCTGCCCTTTGTAACTAATAAACTGTCTCAGAGGTGGTATATATGTTGAGACCATGTAAAAATTCTTTCCTTTTAAATGTCTTTCCTGTTGGTTTTTGTATTGATGATTATTGTCTGAATCGGTTTTTATAATGTGATTAAAAGCCAATAATGGTTGATTTGGTTTGCTTAATTTTGGTGGTACTGGGGATTGAGCCAGGGCCTTGGAACTGAGCTATATCCCCCCACTTACGTTTTTTGAGACAAGGTCTCACTTGGTCTAGTGGTTAATTAAATGAATTGAGCCAGCTTGGTTCTGGGCATGGAAGACCCACTTTAAGAAGAATTTTTGTCTGAGTTGTATACGGGAGGGAAGGGTTTCAGCTGATTTTCCTTGGAAGAGCTTCGCTGTTCTTTTTGGAGGTGCTCCTGTCTTCACCGTTGCCAAGAACAGCTGCTGTTCTCTTTGAGGAGCTCAGGGCTCCTGGCATTTGGTGCAGATTCTTCAGCTTCCAGAACTGGCCTTTATCCCTGCTGCAGACTCTTTAGCTTCAGGCACTGACCTTTTAACCTCCGGGTGCAGAGCCCTTGGTCTTCCCTCAGATCCTTTGGCCTCTTCAGGCAGACTTGCATGGAATGTTGCTGTGGGCTCCAGACTTTCTGGGCTGCAAGCCTTGGGCTGGATCCTTTGGATCTCTACCGCACGGACAGATCTTTTACACTCTTGTACATTTGATTCTGGGGGTGGCCATTATAAACCAGTCTTGTAAATTTCTGTGTCCTACATTAAATCTGATTCAGAGCATGTGCAGGCCTTTGAGGAGCCCCGCCGCAGCCCTGCCAACTTTTCTAAGCACCGACTGATGCACTAGGTTGCTCAAGCTGAGCTTGTACTTGTGATCCTCCTCAAGAGTGCCGGGATTACAGGCATCCTCTTCATACCCAGTTTAAAGCAGTGATTTTTGGGGCTGGGGATTTAGCTCAGCGGCAAAATCGCCTGCCTGGCAAGCGCAAGGTCGTGAGCTCGGTTCCTGGTACCGGAGAAAAAACAAAAAAACAAACAAACAAAAAAAGCAGTGAGTTTTAAAATTGTCATCTTTTCTACATTTGATTGACTGCAGTGGAGAAGATTGATCTTAGTACCTTTTTATTTGTTAGACACTTGTTCTACCACTGAGCTATACCCTCATTCCAAGCTTCTGTGTTTATTTGTTTTGTTTGTCTTGTTGTTGTTGTTTTTGAGACAGGGTCTCACTATATAGTGCAGACTGGACTCAAACTCATGGCGATCCTCCTACCTCAGCCTCCTGGGCACTGGAATTACAGATGTACACCACCATGCCCAGCTAGATGCTGTGTTTATTAATTTACATTTGTGGTACCTTTCTGTCATTCTACCAAAGTACCTGAGATACATAACTTCTAGAAAGAAAGGCAGTGCAGGTGTGGTAATACCTATAATCCCAGCACTTGGGAGGCTGAGGCAAGAGGAGAACAATTTTAACCACATCCTGGGCTACATAGTGAGTGCAGGGCCAGCCTGGATGACATAGTGGACACCTATCTTAAGAACCAGGACAAATAAAAACAGAGCAAGGTTTATTTTGGCTCATACGTATGGAAGTTTCAGAACATGATGCTTGACTCTATTGCTCAGGCCTATGACAAGACCGCAAGTTACAGCAAAAGCTTGTGACAGAGTAAAACCACCCACCTCATGACCAGGAAGTAATGAGGAAGAGGAAGAGGTCAGGCTCCCTCAGTTACCTTCAAGGGGCATGCGCCTCAGGAGCTGAGGGCTGGATTACACCCTACTCTCAAAGGTTCCCCCACTTCCCACCGGTTCTTCCCTGGGAACCAATCCAAATATGCCCCTTCAGGTGACCTACAGGACCCAGGATTTCTGTATGTAAGAGCATTTCCTGTCCCTATCATGTTCAAAAAGAATTACTATGGACTTACAGATTTTTACTTCTTTTTAATATATATTGTTTTGTCCTTTAGGACATAACCAAACCAGCTTTGTGTCTACGCTTTGATCTCTCCCTAATTTGTTTTTTTAAAGTACGGTAAATATTCCTACTCACTTTGTGTTCCCTTGTGTACCCATTGTGAAGATCTACCATAATTTCTGCAATTTGTCTTTTTTTTCCTTTGAAATAGGGTCTCACTATGTAATTCAGGCTGGCCTTGAACTTGCTTATGTAGACCAGGCTGACCTTGAACTCATGGCAATCCTCCTGCCTCAGCCTCTCGAGTGCTGGGATTACTGGCATGTGCCTCCATGCTTGGCCCTATTCAACTAGTCTTATATTTTGCTTTTATGAGTAACTGAATAAATAACCTTGTATGTAAGTTATTCTTATATTGTTGGAGTTACATCTTTAAGGTAATTTCCTAGAAAAAGACTGTCCTGGCCAGAGGCCAGCACAGTTTTCCTGAGTTACTATGAAGCTACCCTCCACTGTGGGGGACCATTCAGCACTGCTCCTGGCATGGAGAGCTGGTTTCCCACCGCTTCTTACTGCGTCTGTTATCAGGCTTTTGAATTTTTACCAGTCTATTAAGTGAGAATTAGGACCAATTCACTTAAGAATAAAGTTGAGTATTTTGTGATATTTTTAAGGGATATTTGTGTATATGTGGATTGACTGGGTGTTTTGCTCATTTGTTTTTTTAAAAAAAATGTTGGTTATTTTTCCTCTTTTAAGCAATGTGGGGATATTAGTTCTTTAACAGCAATGTGTATTACAAATATTTAGTTTAATTTAATCTCTTTTCTGGTGCTAGAGACTGAGCCCAGGTCCTTGCACATACTAGTCAAGTGCTCTACCACTGAGCCACCTCCCCAGCCCTTAAAATTTTTTAGACACTGTCATGTTGCCCAGGCTATCCTCAAACTTGTGATCCTCCTACCTTAACTTCCAGAGTAGCTGGGTTTACAGGCACGTGCCACTGCCTACAGCTAACATATTAATGTTAAACTGTATTTCTGTCACAATAATTCTGGTCTTTTGAACATAGTTCAGGAATTGGATTCTGGGACCTCTGCACTTTCTTCTTCTGTTCCATTTTATTACTTTGAGGTTATGGACTATTTAGATTCAATTTGGTTCTTCATTCTGAAGGGAATAATTTAATCACTTACTGTACAGTCAATTTCAAAAGTGTTGTAGTTACTTTTCTCATTGCTGAGACAAGATACTTCATCCCCAAAGTTAGGGGAGGAAAGTTTTATTTGGCTTACAGTTCTTAGAAGTTTCAGCCCATGATCTGCTGACCCCAAGGCAGAGTGGCTTGGCAGAGGGGCATCCCAGAGGAGAAACAGTTCATGTGGCAGGAGAAAGCAAAAGAGCAGGGTGGGGGTTATGGGCAGACCAAGCCTCTTTCTGTCCCTTATAGTGTACCCAGGTTAGCTGCCTCAGGGCAGGTATAGCACTTACATTCTTAATCCCAGCATTGGACCATGAATCAATAACAAACTCTAGATTTAGCCACCTCTGAAAAGCCTCTCCACCATGACTGCATGAGGCTCTGTGGGGAGACAGCTAGACACAAACCACAATACAAAGTCTGCCCAAATAGTTCTTTCTTATTCACTAATATTTTATGAGTGAGTGAAAAAAGCCAAATAGGTAAAAGCACACGCATTTGGTTTTCATGGTGCTATTCCAGTTGGTGGTATTCATTCTTCTTACTCAGAGGGAACAAAAGGAAAATAAGTGAGGATCAGACTTTTCCCTAACTATAATAATTTGGAATTGAATGATACTGTAGTCTTTTGTTGAAATGAGACTCGTTAAGGAGAATTTATTACTGACTGTGAGTATGTTAAGTATAAATATTTCTTCCTAGGAATAATAAATTACCATGAACTACTTTCTCTGTATGTTTTAGGTTTTGACAACAATTCGTTCGGGCCATCGAGCAAATATATTTAGTGCAAAATTCTTACCCTGCACAAATGATAAGCAGATTGTATCCTGCTCTGGAGATGGAGTTATATTTTACACTAACGTTGAGCAAGATGCAGAAACCAACAGACAGTGCCAATTTACGTGCCATTATGGAACTACCTATGAGGTACAACATGTGATTCTCTGTATTATATACATGTAAATGTGTATGTTTTTGCATAAGTATGTATGCATGTGTATGTGCATTTATGCATAGAAATTATTGGCAGGCTAGATTTCAGCAAAGCATGTGAGAAAATTTATCTCAGTGGACTTGTGGATCAAGTTAAAAAAATAAGATGCAAGATATACTTATGTAAGATGGATTTGTAATTATTTGAGAAGAAATTTCAACATACAAAGCGTTGGGGAATACACTCAGATCATATCCAGACTGTCGCACTTACCAGATCTTCATATCAGAAGGAACACTAGTACAGTTGACTAAAGAACCAGGTTTTCGTTGGATATTAATAATCTCAAGTCCTGAGCTGAATTAAATGAGGTGGTATGAATTTAAGATTCTGTTATTCTCTACTTGATTCAGAGACTTTGCTTACACTACAAAGTGCTCTTTTAAAATGTTTGTTTGTAATTTTCCTATCAAATTACTGATTTTTCATTCTATTAACCACTTGGTAATCTTCTTCCATCACTTGAATGTCAGTTCTGTGTCCTTATAGTTGTATGTGTATTTCTGTGAATAGCATGGAGCTGGATTTTGTTTCCTATCCATCCTCAAATGTTTGACTTTTTGCTTTAAGTTCTGGTGAGGACAGATCAAACTGGGGGCCTGGTGCATGCTAGGCAAGTGCTGTACCACTGAGCAATACCTCCAGCATGTGCTTTCTATTTTTTAGTTGTCTCTATTAATGTCATCTCCTACTTTTTTGAATTGCTTGGGGGTTTTACTTTATTTTGTTTTTGCCGCTTTCTTGGAGTGCTGTGTGCCATGTTTTGGATATAGGCAGCCAGATAGCTAGGTCTTAGAAGGAATGTGCACGACGTGTAACCTAAAAATGTCATTGTGTCCTGTGGGATCGCTTTGGATTTGAAACCCAACAGCTGACGATAAAATACATATTATACATAGAGGTCTTTTTTTTTTCATTTAACTATAACTGGCACAGCACGCTAATTTGACATCCCCCGCCCACTAATCTCTACCTAATGCTGACTATTAACCATTTATCAGATAAAAGGTTTGTAAATGTTTTTGACCATTCCAGAAGTTCTCATTTCATTCTGTTAATTTATTTGCTTTGCTAGACAATTTCAAGTTTTATTATAGTTCCAGTTTTTTTGCTTTCATTGTCTGTATTTTTGGCATTTTAGCCAGGAAATCTTTGCTAAATCCAGTTTTGTGAAGCTTTTCCCCTATTTTATTCTAGTCTTATATTTTCAATCTTACAGTTAGGTCTTTAATTCATTTTAAGTTTATTGTTTTTATATACTCCAACTTAATCCTTTTGTATATGGAAATCCACTTTTCCCAGCAGTAGTATTTGTTGAAAAGACTATTCTTTCACCATGTGATTTTGTCAAAGGTCATTTGACTGTATACACGAGAGCTTATTTCTAGATTCATTAATCTGTTCTATTGGTCAGTGTCTGATGTGGTTTGTTTTAGTCATACCTGGAGTTGAACCCAGGACATTGCACATGCTAGGCAAGCACTGTAACACTGAGCTACATCCAGCCCTTTTAATTTTAAGACAAAATCTTGCTAAATTGCCAGGCTAGCCTTGAACTTGAGATCTTTATGCTTTAGCCTTCCAACAAGTCAGAATTATAGGTTTGTGTCACCATGGCTTGCATGTCTGTCTCTAGTGTAATACCACATTGGTTTTTTGTTTTTGTTTTGTTTTTTTTTTGTACCAGAAATTGAACTCAGGACCTTACACTTGCCAGGCAGGTGCTTGTGCCGCTGAGGTATATCCCTGGACCACCATACTGTTTTGATTACTGTAGTATTCTCATATGATTTAACATCAAGAAGAGTGATGGTTATACCTTTGTTTTTATGTTTTAGGATTACTGTAGCTATTTGAAGCCCTTAGTGATTACATATAAATGTTAAGATTCTTTTCTATGTCTGCAAACAGTGCTATTGGGATTTTGATAAGGGTTACATGAGATCTGTAGCTCACTTTGTGAGGCATGGACATTTTAATAGTATCAGGTTTTCTGTTCCATGGCATATGGAATTTTCCCCTTATTTGTCTTTTTAAAATTTCTTTCAGTAGTGTATTGTAGTTTTCCACATATAGTTCTCTTGCCTCCATGATTAAATTACTTAAGTATTTTGTCCTCTTTAATGCAAAAAGTTGTCTGTGTCACTTTATTTAGCCATGTTGCCCAGTAATCTATGATGTTTAAAATTATATTTTTAAAATCTAATTTAAATTTAAAAACTTAAAAGTTTTTTTTTAAACTGAATAGCACTCAGTTATTTACATATGTTTGTGTACACACAGAGACACACATCACATTTTCTTCCTCCACCATCCATTAGTAGATAGGCATTTCTGTGTGTTGGCTATTGTGACTAGTGCTGAGATGAACATAGGGCTGCAGATGTTTTTTTGAGAGAATGATTGTATTTCCTGGATGTAAACCCAGAAATGTGATTGCTAGTTTCTATGGTAGTTTTACGTTTTACGTTTGAGGATCCTCCTATTCTCCATTACGCTATACCAATTTGCATTCCTGTCAACAGTGTGTACTGGTTTTTCTACCTCTTCACCAACACTCATCTCTTGACTTTTTAGCAGTAGTCATCATGTCAGGTGTGAGGTGATTTGGATTTGCATTTTTCTGATCACTAGTGATGTTGTGCACCTTTTCATATATCAGTTGGCCACCTGTGTGTCTTCTTTGGGCCTTCTTTGGGTCGTACAATTTAGGCACTTCACCTATTTTTAATCAGATTATTTGCTTGTATGTTATTGAGCTATGTGAATTTATGTATTTTGGATATTAACCCCTTACTGATGTATTGTTTGCAAATATTTTTTCCTGTTACATCAGTTACTTTTTCATTTTGTTGATTTGTTTCATTTGTTTGCTGTGCAGAAACTTTAGTTTGACATAATTCATATTTGTCTACTTTTACTTTTGTTGCCTGTGTTCTGGGTATCTTACCAAAAAAATCATTGCCAAGATCATTGTTATGGAGGTTTACTTCTATTTTATTCTAGGAGTTTTGTGGTTTCAGGTCTTACATTTAAATATTTAATCCAGGAGAGGGTGGGGAAAAGAAGGTGAAGAAAAAGAATTAATATGTGTTATGTGCATGTCTCAAGTCCCCATGATGAATGTAATTATGTGCAAGTATGTACTAATACCAATTGGAAAAATGAGAATGAAAATTATTTAACCCACATTTTTGTATGCAATATAGGATCTAATTTCATTTTTCTGCATGTCAAAATCTATTTTCCTCAGCACCATTCATTGAAGAGACTGTCCTTGCCTCATTGTGAATTCTTGCACTTCTGTTAAAGATTAGTTGGCTATATATGCATGGGTTTATTTTCAATTTTTCTGTTTTCTTTGCTCTGTTTTTATGTTAGTACCATAATGTTTTGATTACCATAGCTTTGTAATGTAAGTAGAAGTCAGGAAATTTAATGCCTTCATCTTTTTTTTTTTTTTTGATACTGGGAATTGAACTGAGGACCTCATGCTTGCCAGGCAGGTGCTGAGCCGCTGAGCTATACCCCTGGCCCTCCATCTTTAATTTCCTTGATTAAGATTAGTTTAGCTATTTGAGGTCTTTTGTGCTTTTAAAGATTTTTTTCTATTTCTTTGAAAAATGCCATTGGAATTTTGATAAAGATTATATATAGTGTATATAATCATTTAGGTAGTGTGATCATTTCGACATGTTGATCCTTCTGTGTCATACAAAATTCATGTGTTTCTGTTTATTTTCATCCCTTTCAACTTCTTTGATCAGTGTTTTGTACTTTATATTAGATCATTCACCTCTCTCTGTACATTTCTATTCTTTTTGATGATACTATAAATTGGATTGCTGTCTTAATTTCTCATTTTGATAATTTGGTATTTATAGTACTATATAGAAACAACTGATTTGTTTTCTTTTTTTTTGGTACTGGCAGTTGAACTCAGGGCCTAAACACTGAGCTGCATCCTTACCCCTTTTTTAAATTTGTGAAACAGGATCTTGCTAAGTTGCCCAGGGTGAACTCAAACTTTCAGTCCTCCAGCCTCAGCCTCCCAGCCTCCCACGGTGTAGAATTATATAGCCATATGCCACCCTGCCTGGCTTGTTTTTTTTTTGTTTTTTTGTTTTTTTTTTTTTTTTGGTTTTTCTCCGGTACCGGGAACCGAACTCACGACCTTGCGCTTGCCAGGCAGGCGCTTTTGCCGCTGAGCTAAATCCCCAGCCCCACCCTGCCTGGCTTGAACTGATTTTTTTTGGCGGGAGGATCTTTTTGAGACAGGGTCTTGCTGTGCAGTTCGGGTTGGCCTTGAGCTCAGTTTGTAGCCCAGGCTGGTCTGGAACTTGTAATGATTCTCCTGCCTCAGCCTCCCGAGTGCTGGGATTAGACATGTGCGCCACCACACCCAGGTGTATACTGATTTTGTATCTTACAATTTTATGGAATTCTTTTGTTGTTTTCATAGTTTTCTGCTGGAATCTCTAGGATTTTCTGCATATAATTTCATCTACAGAGAAAGACATTTTACTTCCATTTTTATTTGGATGACTTTTCTTTCTTTTTCTTGCCTAGTTGCTTTGTCTAGGACATAGAAGTGGAAAGACTGGAACTCCTTGTCTTTTTTCTAATCTTAAAGGAAAAGTTTCCTACTTTGATCACTGAGTATATCTGCCATTAAATGTGGACAGCATTTTAAAAAAATTTTTTTAAGTACTGCATTCTTTTTATACCTAATCATTGAGAATTTTTATTATGAAACTATGTTGAATTTTGTCAAAGGCTTTTTATGTATCTGTTGATATGGTCATATTTTTGTTCTTCATTCTGTTAATGTGGTATATCACATTTATTGATTTGTGAGTGTTGAACTATCTTTGCACTGCCAGAGTAAATACCACTTGTTTATGGTGTATGATTCTTTTAATTTGCTGTTGAATTCTGTTTGCTAGTATTTTGTTGAAGATTTTTGTATTTATGATCATTAGTGATACTGGCCAGTAATTTCAAAGAGAAAATCAGAAGAGAACTTTAAAAATATGCTAATGAAAATGGAAGCACACACATCAAAACTTATGGAGAGGCAGTTATAAAGGGGAAGTTTACAGTGATAAATGCCAACAGTAAGAAGAAAGTAAGTAAATACCTGACATTACATCTCAAGGGACTGCAAAAAGAAGAAAGTTCATAGCTAGCGGAAGGAAAGAAGTAACAAATCAGAATAAAAGTAAATGAACTAGAACTCAGAAAAATAATACAAAAGATCAGTAGAACTAAGAGTTGGTTCTTTGAAAAGATACAATTGACAAACTTTTAGATAACCTAAAAAAAAAAGAAGACACAAAATCAGAGATGAAAGAAGAGATCTTACATCTAATGGCTCAGAAATATAAGGATCATAAAAGAGAATGCTGTGAACAATTATATGCCTACAAATTGAATAATGTAGAAGAAATAGATATATTCCTAGAAGCATAAACCTACCAAGACTGAATCATGAAGAAATAGAAAATCTGAGCAGACCAGTAACGAAATAAGGAGGTTGAATTTGTATAGAAAAATGACCCATCAGAGAAAAATTGAGGAGCTGATAATGTACTGCTGAATTCTGTGAAACCTTTAGAGAGGAGCTAATACCAGTTCTTCTCAAACTCTTGTTAAAGAGGAGGAAGTACTTCCACTTATTTTATAAGGCCAACATATCCTTAATACAAAAGCCAAACTTTGTAGGGTTTGTTTTGTTGTTGTTGTTTTTAATTGATTTTTAAAGTTATTTTCTTCGTGACTAACTTTAAGATTATAATTTCTAAATTAGTATGTAGCAGTTTTGTTCAAATTAACTATAGTATAATTCCATAGAACACAGAAATTTTGGTAAAGTATAGCTTCTCCTTTTCCCTGTTAACACCAGTTGCATCTTTCTACATTTTAAGTCCATGAATATAATTTTATTGTTATGGGTTCTTGCTGTTATTATTTAATTCAGAAAAAGAAAACAGAAATAAGAATATTTGTACTTTTTAATATTTATATACTTTAACTTTACTAGTATTCTTTGTATGCTTTTGAATTAATAATGTCCTTTAGCTTAGCCTTAACTACTGCATTTAATATTCTTGTAGTTCAGGTGTGCTAGTGATGTTGATTTTGAAGTGTGTTAATTTTTTCCTTCATTTTTGAAACATTATTTGTTGGATATATAATTATTATTAATTAGAAATCTTTTTCTTTCACCCTATTATGTCACTTCTTCTGTTTTTCCTGAATTCTAATGAGAAGTCAGTTTTTAGTTCTATTTAGGATTATTCTGCACAAGGCAAAGTCTGTTTCCACCCTGGCCTTTAAAATTGCCCATCTGCCTTCTGATAATTTAATTATTTGTGCGGATTTAATTTGTCTTAGCTTACTTGCAGTTTATCAAACTTTTTGTTTGTTTGTTTTTTGTTTTGTTTTTGTTTTTCTCCAGTACCGGGAATCGAACTCACAACCTTGTGCTTGCCAGGCAGGCGCTGTGCCGCTGAGCTAAATCCCCAGCCCCAATATCAAACTTTTTGTATGCATAGATTCGTATTTTAAATTGAATTTTAAGAAGTTTCAGCAGTTATTTCCTCAAATATTCTTCCTACCTCTTGGTCTGTATTCCTCTGAAACTTCTATTGGCCTATGTTGGTATGTTTTCTGCATCTCCACTCAATTTTCTTCACTTTTCTTTTTTGTTTCTCAGCTTGGATAACCTTGATTCAGCAGTACAGTACTTATCTTCACTGATTCTTCTACTACTTTAAGTTGGCTGTTGAGCCCTACTAGTAAATATTTCTTTAGTTATTATACTTTTTTACTCTAGAATTTGAATTGTTTTTAGTAATACCTCTCTTTTAACAGTCTTCCTAGCGAGACATTTTCTTATATTTTCCTTGGCTTATTTAGAAGTTTTTGATCAGTTCTCAGCACATTTGGATAGCTGATTTAAAGAATTCCTTTAGTTCAATTTCTGTATTTTCTTAGCCAGTTTCCTTTGAAACCCCACCCCATGTATGGAATATGGTTTTGTTTCTTTGCACGCTTTGTTAATTTTTTAGTAAAACATTAACCCTTTGGGTAACAATGTTAATTTCTTCTCCTTGGATTTCCTTGTTCTCTGGTGGGTTTCCTGGACTGATTCTATATGATTTGTGGTCACTGAAGCCTCTACTTAGTGAACGTCGTGTGAGTTAATGACTGACAGATTCCCTTAAATGTCTTACATCTTCCAGTCTGTTGAAGGGCTCTTTGTGCCTAGACACTCCGCTAGTGCCCCGCCAGCACGCAGCTCTGCCTGAACGCTCAGGTACAGTATTGGCTTTTGGTTTCCGCAATGCGTGGGATCAGCCCAAGGCCTTTTGGAGTCCTTGCCCTCCCACAGAGGCACTGCCCAGACCTAGGTCTCACTTCCTGTTTATGCAAAGCCTGCAGGTTAGCTATGGGTGGTGCAATGGGGCCTTTTGGGCACATGGGTAACCTTACCACATGCCCCTAGTTTTTGAAGCCCCAGAAGTATTTCATGGCTTTTAAAATTCTCCAGTTCTACTGATTCTCCCGTTTTTACTTTTAAGGTTTTTGGTCAGTGTTTTATTTTACTTACATTGTGGCTTCAAGTGACTGTAACATTAAATCATTACTGCTGATTTGGGAGGGCGGTACTAGGAATAGAAGCTAATGCTTCATACTGAGCTACATATCCAACCCTTTTTGCTTTTTATTTTGAAACAGGGTCTTACCAAATTGCCCAGGCTGGGCTCGAGCTTGGAATCCTCCTGCCTCAGCATCCTTCAGCACTGGGAATGCAGGCATGCGCCCCCATGCCTGGCTTTATTGCTGATTATTTTTGACATACATCCTTAGGGTAGGGCTATTATCACATGGACTATTTACCCATGGTAAATTCAGTGTTAAGTCCTCAAAATGGAGATTTTCCACTTTGAGAAAAGTCTCCGTAGTGACAGCTTTTTGGAGATGGGGCTTTGAGAGCTGTGGCTTACCTTGTCCGGTAAGATGCTGGTTCTCACAACTACCATAGATGCAAGGCCATTGGTGTTTTCAGTGCTGCCATGAAGTTAAAGAAAACTGCAGTGTTTCAGTGCTTTTATGGAGGAATATATTTTTAGTGGTCCGTATTTGGCTGTTCCAGACACGCTTCTGCTGTAACATGTTTTTTTCCACCTTGTTCAGGAAGGTTACGTTACAGGAAGGGTTCTTAAGTGATACCTATTTGTATGAGATAACACAGTTAATGAGCATTAATTACAATTAGGAATATAATTATTTCACTTTGTAACAGTGTGATGAATGCAGCTCAGTTTTAAATAATTAAGTGTATGAAAGAATTACATTATTCCAGTTTGTATAAATGAATTTATATAGGAAATATGTACTCACAAGAATTTGGTTTGTAGTCCAACGCATTTGGGACTGCTCTTGTCTCTCATGAACTATTCCTGTTCCCCATTCTTATTGCCCATTCTTTCTCCCCAATAAATTTTCTCACTTTTAACCTCCTTTGTTCCTTAGAATTCATTCTTCAGTTTTGGGGGACACAAACTCGGTGTATTTAACATCTAGCGTCTCCCCTATGTCAGTGTAATGTTTCTTTTTTGTCTTTCTCACATTTTAAATACAAACTTTTAAAGTGTAATATATAAAGAAAAATACAAATAATCAAGAAGAATTTGTAGTATATACAAAGTAAAAAGTGACCTGTCTACTTAGTAAAGTCATCAAAACTGAATCAACACAAATCAAAATATTTCTTACTGATAAAATCATTTTACAAGTAAATAGTTCAACACTACTTACTTGATGAGAGGAAAAATGGCATTTTTCACAGATAGGAAATGAGTTTGAAGTCTTATTTTCCTTGAAACATGGACTCGTTTGTGTTGGGTATACTTTTTTGCAAGTTTCTTCTTGCATAGTCTAAATCTTGTTACTCTGCATTGGTGGCAGAATTGTTCAATAGAAGCAAAAGACATATCTGCATTCAGTAGCTTAAAAGTAGTAGATACTTATTTTATGAAGAGCAACACAACACACATTTGTTATCTTACAGTTCTGGAACTCATAAGTCTGAAATGAGTATTAGCGGGCTAAAATTCAACAGGTGGCAGGTCTGGGTGCCTTCTGGTTTGCTTTTCCAGTTTCTAGAGGACAAATGTAGTTCTCGGATTCAGATCCTTCCTCGTCTTTGGAGTCAGCAATGTGGCATCGTCAGATCTCTCTCTCCCTCTCTGTCCCTCTGTTCTCTCTGACCCTCCCCTCTTTCCCCTCTTTGACTTTTTCCATTATCTTGTCTTGTCTTTCTTGTCTCCCTCTTTCACTCATAAGGATGCTTACAATTTTACTGGGTCCATCTGGATAGTTCAGGATGGTCTCCTCTGAAATCCTTAGCCACACCTGTTAGTTTCTGTAGCAGTTGAAGGTATAATACTGCATATTCATAGTCTCTAATAATTAGATGTTGACATCTTTGAGGGGGTCCTTATCCTGCTTGCCACCATAATAGAAAACAGAGGTTTTCTAGGTTAAGTTTTGAAAGTATAATACATATACAGAATAGTACCCACATCAGATATATGCAACTTGATGCATTTCGACAAAAATACACTTGTGGAATAATATACTTAGAATAAGAAACACCCCTAACAGGCCCCTGTATACACAAAGGTTCTACTGTTCACTTAAAAGTAACTACCAGTAGGACTCTTACCCCATTTACTGGCTTAGCAGCATTCAGGGCCTTTGCACTGAGCTACATCCCCAGCTTTTTTTTTTTCAATACATTTTTCAAATTTGAGGCAGGATGTCACCAAGTCTTTAAATTGCCTAGGGTGGGCTTGAACTTGTGATCCTCCTGCCTCAGCCTCCTAGAGGGTTGGAAGTACAGACTCTGTACCACCATGCCTGCCTCTATTAAAATAGTCTCTTAAATAGCAGAGATTAGTTTTGTCTTTTTGGAAAATTATATTATGGAACTGGTATGTGTTCTTTTAAATTTGACGTCTTTCACATAGTAGGTTTGTGGATTCACCCATACTTTGAGGATAGCAGTGATTTGCTCATTCTTATCGTTGATGTAGTATTTTATTTTAGGAAAAGATCAGAGTTTCTAAAGGAGATTTTGTGTGTGTGTTGTCAGGGATTGAAGCCAGAGCCTTATACTCACTAGATCAGCACTTTACCATGGAGCTACATTCCCTGCTGTGCACAATTTCCATTTCTGCTCTGCTGTTGACTATTTGGTTTGTTTCCAGCATTTGGCTAACATGCACAGTGCTGCTGGGAAAAATTCTAGTACACATCTTCAGGTGCCCATGTATGGATTTTTAGTTTAGTGGAATTGCTGAGTCACAAGAAAGGCACATGATCAACATTAGCAGACGTTGCCGCTGTTCCAGTTGCTGTACGTAGGCATCTACTCTTGATAGTAACAGTCTTACATTTTGGCCATTCTTATGGTACGATTTTGTATTTCCATGATGATTAACGATTCTGAATACTTTCCTGTATATACAGTGTTTAAAACATAGGAACATGCTTTCCATTGCTGGTTACATAAAGCCATATGTGGAAATCTAGATAGCCAAAGTTGTTAGTGTCTACTTCTAGTGACGGGGGGGGGGGGGTGAACCCCTGCCCCCTGTCCCTCTGTCACTTGATGTAGATATTACCATGAGAGATGTAATCATTTTGTACTGGGAACATGTACTAATAAAAAAATAAAAGTTGAAAAATTTTGTGCTAAAATTTACATAACATCAAATTTGCCACTATATCCCTTTTTTTAGTATAGAATTCAGTGACATTAAATACATGTATATTGTTATGTAACTGTCACCACCATGTAAGATTCTTTGTGAGAGATTGGTTTATTTACTTAAATCATTTCAGCATCCCAGTTTTCTTAAACATCAGGAAAGACCTGGGCTGAGGATTTAGCTCAGCAGCACAGTGCCTGCCTGGCAAGTGCAAGGTTGTGAGTTCAATTCCCGGTACCAGAAGAAAAAACAAACAAACAAAACCAAACATCAGGAAAGACAGTGTTAAATGTTTATAATAAAATGATAAATTCACCTACAGAAAACATAAAAATTAGGTTTTGAATAGTTTGAATATAATTAGGGGAGGGTGTTGCTCATCAGAATTATTAGAAGTTCCTATGTGAAGTTATATTAATTATACTGTCAGAGTTATCAGTCAGATTCAACATTTCTGATGTGTTTATTGTACTCATTTGAATCATTGTGTGGGATAAGTCATAGCTAATTAAAACAGCATGGCTTTTGTTGTTTTTGCTGTAGTCATGTTGTGAAATAGTAGCAGTATGTTTCAGAGCCACCTGTTTGAATTTCCCTTCAGGTTACCTGTGCTTTTGTTTTCTTCTTCAGATTATGACTGTACCAAACGATCCTTACACTTTTCTGTCCTGTGGTGAAGACGGGACCGTTAGGTGGTTTGACACACGCATCAAAACTAGCTGCACAAAAGAAGATTGCAAAGATGTAAGAATCCAGTTTTTTAATAACTGATGCAAGAAAAATTATGAGTATAATTTATATCTGGCAGATACCTTCAGAGGATGTGATTATGTGTGAACTTTTAACATTCTGTTTTGCTGAACTCTTACCATAAAACTATTTTAATGTCAAGAAACTTAACATTTTAACTGTGCATTTAAAATGCATTTTTGAAAATTTATATAGTTGGGTGTATAGTATTATAAGCATCTAGAGAATTTATCAGTATATCTTACTACTCGTGGAGATAATTTTGGCTGAGCAAAATAGCAGTGATAAAAGTTTGTAAAAGTTTTGTGTCATTTTTACTCCCTTCCTTTGAAACTAGTATTTTTTTAAGAAGTAAGATGGCGTTTTATCAACATTTTAATTCAAATTTAGCTAGACCTATGTTTATAGTCAATATTTTATTTTTTTTAATAGTTTGAAATTTCTGAAAGCACTGAGAAATCTTTCAGTCTTTAGACCTCAGACAACCAGCCCCAAGGACTTTTATCTGTCATACATTATTTAGAGCCTAGTAGCCTTTTCTTGGATCATTATGAAGTACAAAAAAATGTTACAAATTGGTATTGATTAGTTATTTTTATGGAAGGGGAGCAAAGAAAAGCCAAGTAATCAGGTTAAGTGTGTGCTGCCTGGGGCTGGGGATTTAGCTCAGCGGCAAAAGCGCCTGCCTGACAAGCACAAGGTCGTGAGTTCGGTTCCCGGTACCGGAGAAAAACCAAAAAAAAAAAAAAAAAAAAAAAAAAAAAAGTGTGTGCTGCCTAAAGTAGTTAATGCAGTTTTTTATGCTTTAGGAATGAAAAGATTATTTTAAAACAGAAGAAAAAAAAAAGTGGAAATTGAAAAAAAGTTAAATATAGAATTTTTAATCAGTTTTATATTTTATGTATACACATGCTTACTGTACATAAGTCAGAAAGCAGTAAACTGAAGCTTGAAATATACCTGCTCATGCTTGTTTCTTAGTAAATGGTTAGTATTAAAATTCATTATTCCATATTCTTTTAAAATTAAAAGTGGTATACAGTGTGATAGGATTTAATTGTTCTTTTCTAAACAAATCTTGAAAATAAGAATACAAATAAGAAGTAAATGTATTCATAATAAAACTTGTCACTTACAGAAATGCATAGAAGAAAAACTGGGTAACTAGTAATTCTTGATCTAGTGTCTTAGAATTGTGAAAGGCATTGAGAATCAGTTCTGTGTATTGGGGTAAAATTCTGAGATTAATAAGTTTAATGAAGTTTAGGTAACTTAATTTAAAAACATGTCTATATTGAGAGACTAGAATCATTAGGCAAAATAGTATGGAATCAACAGTGTACTACAAGGATATTTTTAAGGTGGTAGCACATACATTTTTTTAATGGTTCTAGAAAGAGAAGTACTGACATTGTAGTAAGACATACATATTGCAGGGTTTGTATTATGTGTATGACTTTTTTTTTTAAGCTGATAAGGAGAAAGATTTTACCACTTAAGAAAAGTATAAAAATTTTCAATTAATTAGGAATATTCTTTTTATATATAAGAATATTTTTGTTGTATTTCAGTAGCAATTGTTGAGAGTCAAAATAATATCATATAATATGTATTGTAGACAAAGGTAGATTGTACTTTTACCTTTAATCTCAAGTGGACCAATAATAGCAGGCATTTCTGATGCTATTAAGGGCTTAGTGATCCATTACATAGATAGTGTATGATTTTTTATGTTTCTAAAGATTTCTATTATTCAGAAGTATGGGAATATTTAGCAGTCACTTTGTATAATGTTACTGATTGTATGAAAGGTAGTTTTGATAGAGGGCTTAAGTTGTGGTAATAGACTTTCTTGTCTCTGTGCCAATTGATAATCAGCATAATTGCTCAATGTTTTATTTTTATACTTGGGCTATTTTTTGTTTCTTCTCAGAATGTATTTTGTATGATTCAGATATGCCTATTTTTTAAATCTCTAAAGTTTAATATTTCAATATATTGTTATTTTGATTGCTTCATCAGCAAGGTATGTAATATTGTAGTAGAAATCAATGTTGGCAAACTGTAAAGAGAACATTTTCTTTATAGTGATAGTTTCTAAAAAGGGATATTGACTGAGTTATATTTATCTTGGTTTAGTATATGCTGAGTGTGTTAGAAATAGTTTCCATTAGAGAATTAAAAGTGGATTAAATTAAGAAACCATGTTTTTGTACCTGTTTGTCTTGACTGAGTTAGAATTTCTGAGAAAGCTTATTCTCTTATAATTGAAGGGGAAATGTTTTAAATTTAGTATACTTGCTACTGTGTAGCTATATATAACTGGTATTGTGTTATCCTTTCTAGGATATTTTAATTAACTGTCGACGTGCTGCCACATCAGTTGCTATTTGTCCCCCAGTACCATATTATCTTGCTGTTGGTTGTTCTGATAGCTCAGTACGAATATATGATCGGCGAATGCTGGGTACAAGAGCTACAGGTAAAGAGATAATGTTAGGAAAAACAAGGGACTGTATCAATTCAAAGAATAAATCCTCATGATTTTTTCCATTTAAAAACTTCTTTAATTATAAAATTTCAAGAAACAGAATGTGTTGAAATAATACAGATCATTGCCCCCCCCCCAAGGCATTTGACCAAGTTTTTAAGATTTACTGGGATGAAACTTTTACAGTTTTATCACTTTAAAAACTTGTAGTTCTTGGTATATTAGTTTCCCAGGACCACCATACTAAATTACCACTAAATGGTTCTCTTAGAGCAATGGAGAGTGATAGAAAAGAATAGATACAGAAAAGAATAGAATAGAAAAGAGGATGATAAAGTAATAAATTGGAATTTATTCACATTTCTGGAAGCTGCGTATCTGAAATCAAGCCATCTCAGAGTTACTTGCTTCTGGAGTCTCTGAGGGAGGAACTGTGGCCTGCCTCTCCCAGCTCCAGTGCTTGTGGTGGCTAGGTGTGTGAGATGTACCCTTGCAGTCTCTGTGCTGTTCTCCGTGTGTCCCTGTGTCCACACTTTCCTGCTCTTAAAATACCAGTCACACTGAATTTAAGGCCCCCTCTCATATGATTTGACCTTACATAATTACATGGACAAAGCCCCTATTTCCAAACAGGCTCACATTGTGAGGTTTCAGGTAGACATGAATTTTGAGAGGACTCTGCTGTTTTTCAGTCAAGAGGATAACAGTAAAAATGGGAAGAAACATTAGGAAGTACAGTGGCTTAGGTATTAATATATAGCGTAAGTTTTTAGCTGCTTAGCTTAACAAAAGTACTGTTAATGAAGCTGCAGTAATGAGTTTGAATCTGATTTAAATCGGTTATCTTTCACTGTGGGAACCAAGCACTTCTGAAATAATGAATTGAAAGCCAGCTTCTGTTAGCATTTTCTCAGTAAAGGAAAGCCAAGATTAGTTATGTATGCAGGCATTCGCACATGTGTACACTTAAATGTATGCATGTGCGTATGCATATATAAATACAGATATCAAATATACAGGCATTCTGTATTTTATATTGTGAAAAACAAAGATGAAGGTGAACAGAAGTCAACAAGGTCGGTAAAAATGGACATAGACTATTGTAATGAGAATACCAGATGTCTTAGTTACTTTTTTTGTTGCTTATGTAAAATATCCAACAAAAGAGGAAAGACTTATTACAGCTCACAGCTTATAGAGGTTTTAGTCCATAGTCACCTGGTTCTAAGGCAGGAAGCCATGGCAGAGGGTCATCACAGAGGAGAAACGGTTCATGATGTGGCAGCCAGAAGACAGCAGCAGCAAGCAGCAGGGAAACAGAGGTGCAGCAGTAGCAAGCCTGCCTCTCTCCCTTGTCCCATCCAGGCTACGAATAATTTGGATGGTGCCACCCACATCCAGGGTGGGCCTTCCCATTACCTACACCCGGAACTATGCTAAAGCACTCAGTCGACTAATTAGTAATCACACACCCTTAATCCCAGTATGTCAGCCTTAATCCAAGGATCACATTCTAGATCCAGCCACCTTCGAAAAGCCCCACCTATGACCATGAGGCTTTGGGGATGTCTAGATTCAAGCCATAGCACCGGATGAGCTTTTTTCTTTTTTTGAACAGAACTGTGATTCAGGAGTTCTGTTTATTAGGTAGGCATATTTCACGGGGAGCAGTCTGTACTGTAATGTGAAATTCTAGGCTTAATTGTTCTTCACAGATATGAGACAGTTTGACATTTTGAATAGGACAAAACCTAATTTTGCAGAATTTTTCAGCTTTGGGATTGTTAGAATTTAGCATTCCTAGGTCCCCAGAGCACAAAGTGGCAGTTGTATTCTTCCCTGTCATCCTGAGGTCTATTAATAGAGTTAATTATAGTTGGAATTTATTCTAAGATATTAACAGTCAGCTTTCCTGTTATAAAAATTTACCTGAAAATGAATTTTTGGAAGATGATTTAGTGTCACTACAATCATAAATCAATGTATTAAATAACTGATGGTTTATGTAATCTAGAAATAACTTTCTGTTTTGTGACGTAGGGAATTATGCCGGTCGAGGGACTACTGGAATGGTTGCCCGCTTTATCCCTTCCCATCTTAACAACAAGTCCTGTAGAGTGACATCTCTGTGTTACAGTGAAGATGGTCAAGAGATTCTCGTTAGTTACTCTTCAGATTACATCTATCTTTTTGACCCAAAAGATGATACAGCACGAGAACTTAAAACTCCTTCTGCAGAAGAGAGGCGAGAAGAGGTATGTTTACTTAAAACCATGTTCTTTATTCAGTTACAAAAATATTACAAGCTACTTCTGGGGCCTAATGGCCAAATAAATAAATAAAGGCATTAATTTTCAGGGTATTTATGGTTTAGGTAACAAGGTGATGAAACATACCTGAAAGAAAAGGCCACCATGGTATTTTTGAAAAGAAAATATTCAATAGCGAAATGTTCCTCTCACTTTGTAGATGCACAGTAGTACCAAGAAAAATCAGCAGTTGTAGCACTTGTAGAAAAGGCGTTTAATAGAAAAGAAGATGATAAACTTCATGAGATGAAAGGTTTTCAATCCATTCCTATTTACTATTCATATGTGGGCAGCAATGTCTTCTCTGAGTTGTGCCTTTCTCTTACAGTTACGGACTAATGACAGATACTAACATTCATAGGTACGTTTTATGACACGTACATAAATAAATGAGGAAAAGTTAAAGTAGGTATATTTATTTAAAAGTAGGTGAATAAATTGAATTACTGTCACTAATATGACTAAAAATTTTATGTATAAAAGTAGAAAACTAGAAATGTAATTTCTATAGTGCACAGCCATAGAGCAATGTTTGCTTTAATCTGTTGAGCTTTCCCCATTGTGTTTTTCACTTCGGTGTTTAAAACTTTATAATGTCCTATGTTTATTCGTGCTATACTTTAGCTTATAGATGTCTTTTGAAGTTAAGCATATTTTTAATGAACACATTTTAAAGGTTACTAAAGAACATTAACAGTTTTGTAATTCCTGTGAGATGCAAAACTAAATTCAGTTGTGGACTTATAAAATGAGAAAAACTTAGGATTACTTTATAAACCTATTTTAGGATTTTAAATGTGGTAGTGCATTGAAGTGAATTAGGAAATTGACAAAGAGGAGGATATGTTGGAAATTTATTGGTCTGGTTGAAAACCCAAACTGTGCTCTCAGTATTACTTCCGTGACCTCTTGAGGTATGTGGGTAAGGTTACAGTCAAACTCTGTTACTGTCAGATAATGAAAAGGTTGGAGGTTGTCTTAGTTGCTTTTCTTATTATTGAGATAAAATACCCACCACCCAGTGTTAAAGAAAGAAAGGTTTATTTCAGCTCATAGTTTGTGGGGTTTCAGTCCATAGTGGGCTGGTTCCAAAGCAGGGCGGTATGGCAGAGGGGCATCACAGAGAAGAAACAGTCCATGGTATGGCAGGGCCAGCAGAAGGCAGCCGCAAGCAAAGAGCAGAAGCCCCAGCAGCAAACCTGCTTCTCCTTTGTACCCCATCCAGACTACCAGCCTTGGGGTGGTGCCAGCCACACGCAGGATGGACCTTCCGCTATCCACCCCCTTAATCCCATCATCACACCTTAAATTCCCATATCACACCCTGCTCCTGCCACAGTCAAAGCTCCTCATCTATGAGTGTATCAGGCTTTGAGGGGACATCTAGATACAAGGTGTACAGGAGTGTACAGACTTTTTAAATTGGCCAACTACTTTGCTACCATATAACCGTTACCCAGAAGATATTTACATTTAATCAGAACGAATGATGCTGGGTCATGAAGAGTTCTGTTTTTCATTTTGTTTTGTTTTGGGCATGTTTGTATTTCTTACATTCTTTGTCGCATTAACAAAGTTAAGAAAAATGATTTTTAAATTATAATTATAAAAAATAAACCATGCTTTGCATACCAAACAATTGAGGTATATATAGAAGAAATGAGTAATTTATCTCCCTCTTTATTCCCACGCTTTTCCTTTCTGTGTTTTGAACTACAAGCTTGATAATAGTGTTTAGACCATCTGTTCTTAATTCAGCAGATATTTAGTGGGTGCCCATTGTGTATGGAATCCTACATTAAACTGGTCTGTGTGGTTCAAGGAAGGTATTATTTAGTGGTTTCACATAGTAGAGCTATTAACAAATGTGTGAAATTTGAAATAATAAAATTAATATGTAGGTACTATGCTCTGTATGAATAAAACAAAAAGATAATTTTGATCGGGAAATTAGTAAAGCTTGATCAGTGTTTTAAGGCATGAATTAAAAGTTTATTATATGATTTTTTTGTATGTCTCCATATACTATATTTGTGTATTTTTGTAATTTGCAGGAATCTCTTATTTCCTTATGTCTTCTAATAATTGCTTTTGTATTTTTCCCTTCTTTCTTTAGTATATTCTTTGGTCTTATTTCATTTTGGGGTTCTCATTTTTCTTTCTTTTTATATTCCTTTTTTAGTTTTTATTGTCTTTTCTTCTGTTTTCCTTTTCTTCTAATGTATTTCTGGCATATTCTCTTCTGCCCTCTTCCATACTGGACTCTGTTGTTGAATCCATTCTCTCATTTTCTCCTGGTCTACATCCCCAGCCCTAATGTTACTTTTAAAAATAAATAAACATAAAGGGAATGACCCACAGAACATGAGAAAATGTTCGTACATTATGTATCTAACTAGAGTGTAGTACTGAAAATATATAAAGAACTTTTACAACCCAACATTAAAGAGACAAATATCTCAATTAAAAATTGGTAAAAGATTTATATCCTTTATCTAACAAGTTGTACAGATGGCCAGTGAGCGCAGACAGCGGGCACCACTAGTCATCTAGGAAATGCACGGCAAAACCCCGGTGAGGTACCACTTCACACCCATTCAGACAGCTGAAGTAGAACAATTCAAAAAGGCAGTCAGTAACAAGTGTTGGTGAATACATGGGAAAATTGAAACCCTCACACTTCGCTTGTGGAAATGTAATATTGTTAGCTGCTTTGGAAAAGTTTGACTCTTCCTCAAAAATTAAAAATAGAGATATCCTGTGACCCAGCAGTTTCACTCATACTTACATAGAGCTATATAATGTTAGACACACACATATGTATACACACACAAATCTCTAAGAAAATTGAAAACACATGTCCCTAAAAAACTTGTAATCTGTGTTAGTCAGCTCTCCGTTGCTGAAACCAGTACCTGATATAAACAACTGAAAGGGAGGAAAGACTCACTCTGCCCCACGGTTTTGGAGGTTTCAGCCCGTCTACCTTGGCTCCCTTTTTCCTGGACCGTGAGGAGGCAGACATCATGCAGGGAGTGTGGTGGAGCAAGCTGCTCCCCGCGTGCAGCCAGGCAGCAGAGAGGGATGGAGCCAGGGATAGTCTGTACCCATCAGGGACACTCCTGCAGCGACCTGCTTCCTCTAATCAGGCCCCACCTCCTAAAAGTTTCCACAGCCTCCCAGTAGCCACGAAGCTGTAAATCTGCCAGTGATGAGGTCAGAACCCTTGTGATCCAGTCATCTTGCAAAACCCCACCTCTGAATATTACTGCACTGGGGACTAGGCCTTCAATACATAAGGTTTTGGGGGACAGTTCAGATCCAAATCATGACAGTGTGCTCAATGGCAGCATTATTTATTATAGCCAATGCCTGGAAATAATTCAGTGTCTTATCATGTGATGAATAAGCAGAATGCAGTATATCCATGCCATGGAATAGTATTCAGCCATGAAAAGGCGAAAAATTGATATATGTTACATTGTGAATAAACCTTAAAAATCTTATGTTAAGTAAAAAGAGCCAGGCATACAAGGCTACCCATTGTGTGACTCTTTCTATATGAAACATCCTGAATATATGCATCCATAAAAATAGAAAGTACATTAGTGGTTACTAGGAGCTGCTGATGGGACAGACTTTCTTTTTGGCATGGTGAAAATATTCGAAAGTAGGTAGTGATAACAGTTGTACAGCTTCATAAATTTATGAATATACACTAGTTAGTGAATATACACATACTTTAAAAGGTAGTCTGGGATGTGAAGAATATTGCTATAGAAATATTAAAAAGATTAGCACTTGGGAGGCAGGAAAATCAATGTGAGTTCAAGGCCAGCCTGAACTGTGTAGTGAGACCCTGTCTCAAAAAAAAAAAGACAGAAGTGTTAAAAAAAAAAAAAGTAAAAGTTAAGGGGAGCAGTCAAGAGTGTCAGATACCTTGAACATATCAAATAATCTCTGAAGGGGCTGACCTGCTGATTGATTATTGATTATATCATTGGCTGTCTTTATCCTTTCTCGGTGAACTTGCCAAGTGATTGTTCATTGGTAATCTTTGGGAGAAAGGAAATCAGTGGAAAGATAGGCAACTAGAAATCAGTGGCAGTGTTGACTGGTGGATTGAGGAAGGATCAGCAGATAGAAGGAATGAAGACTTCTGAGCTTCAGAGTAGAGTGAAAACAAATGAAAGATTGTAGGTGGAGAGAAATATGACGTTGAGGTAGTTTTATTTATGCTAAAAATAAGATCTTTAACATGTTGGGAGAGAAAAGCAGGCAAAAGAAATGGGTGTAGGTGTAGGCCGAGAATAATTGTTGCAGGAAGAGTCTTGAATTGAAGAAGTGGAAAGCACATACGGACACAGTGGGCTCACACAGAGTAGGTGGTACATCCCTGAGAAAGGCTGAAAGGAATTAAGAAGCTGCAGATAGATACATGATCATCTTACAGAATCCAGCTGAGGAAGTCGATGTCATTTCTACAGGGCTTTCTTTGTATTATGTTCTCTGCAATAGGAAAAGTTACTAGCCAAGAATAGAAGGGCTGAAACAAATGGTAGGGGTTTGGGATAGATGCTGGGAGGAATGGAGAGCAAATTGTCAAGAATAAGTAAAAATATTCCAAACTCCACTTGTTAGGTGTGTGGGGACCTCAGCCAAAATGTATTTATTATCACAATGTAAAAACTAAGGCTGAGGGGCTGGGGGTTTAGCTCAGCGGCAAAAGCGCCTGCCTGGCAAGCGCAAGGTCGTGAGTTCGGCTCCCGGTACCGGAGAAAAACCAAAAAAAAAAAAAAAAAAACTAAGGCTGAAACAGGTGAACTTCGTGGTGTCAGCTGGGAAGTGAGAGAGGCGGGATTAGAAATCACATGTATGTGATTTCACAGTTACATTCAGGCTCTGAGTTGAACATACTAAGTACAGGCTGTCAGCATCAATGGATATTTATCATCGTGAGTGCTACAAAAGGTGGATGTAACATCAGTGCATCTCTTTTGCATAGTTTATCAAAATAGGGAGCTGGAAATAATCAAACTGAAAGTGTGCTGCTAACAGTCCGGGGTGCATCTCATTGTGAAGGGCTTGCAGGGCACAAGTGAGGCCCTGGGTTTGATCCCTGGCCTGGGGACAGGAGTGACCAGAGTGAGTTTTCCTTTAGATTTACATAGGCTTTACCTACCCTTATCTTTTAGTTACGACAACCTCCCGTTAAGCGTTTGAGACTTCGTGGTGATTGGTCAGATACTGGACCCAGAGCAAGGCCCGAGAGTGAACGAGAACGAGATGGTAATTATACTTTGACCAGTTGTTTTGGTATCTGGTATTTAAAAATTAACATTTTAACTCATGTCCAATTTTTTTACTCCTCTCAAAGATGCTGCAGTGAACATCCTTGCATAGATACGCATGGGCAGATAGAGCTTAGGCTAGATCCTTGGAAGTGCAGTGACTATCACTGGATAAGTACAGTACTTACTTTCTGCAGTATTGAGTGCTGAAGCTGGGGCCTTTGTACTGAGCTACAGATAGCCCTCAGCTGTTTTTAAAATTTTGAAACAGGGTCTCACTCAGTTGCTGAGTTAAATCAAGCTGCATTTGAATTTGCAGTCTTCTTCTCTCAAGCTCCCAGAGAACTGGGGTTACAGGTGTACACCCCCATACTTGGGTAAACATTTTAATTTTGATAGTTCTCAAAATTGCTTTCCAAAAAAAGATACACTAATTTATATTCCTATAGAATTTTTAAGAATACCAGTTACCCTGTAGAACACTGGGTATTATCAGACTTCATTATGTTTACCTTTTGTTAGATACTAAGAAAAGTGGAAACTAAATTTCTAACCTGAGGGTTTATCATAGTACATATTTTCTTTCCTGTGATGTTCTCCTACAGGCGTGAGAAACTTGGGAGCTTTGATATGGTGCACTTGAACTAGGATTAATCTGAGTGTATTATATTAAATAAATGAGCCTGTAGCCAAAAGTCTTATTCTAATGTCAGAAATGTTTCGTCATCAAAAACGTATTTTTCAGTGTATTATCCTTATTATTACCTTGTAATATATTTAAATGTAAAGCTACATTGTGTAATGGCAATAAAATACAAAATTCTGATTCCACAAAAACATTTCTATTTTCTGTGATTGTAGAATAGAGTTGTCATATTTTTGGTTGATATAATGGTATCCATTTTAAAATAGAATATTTGTTTATTTGAAGGAAGAACACGAGTGAGAGAGTAGTTTCAACCAATTTCAGTTACCTGAAATTTGCTTATGGTAAAAGATGAAAATTCAGTTTTAGGAAAATTTATGCAAAAACCCAACTGCATATTTGTGTCTGTGTTTGATAATAATGCTCTAATGAGAGGGAAAACCTTTCTTTTACTCCCTTTTCCTTGGAATCGAACAGCCCTTCCTAGCTGGGAATTTTTAAATGTAAAGATGTAAGTAAGTTTGGCTAGGGGTAAGAGATAAGAAGATACCTAAGAGCAGATGGATTAGCAGAGATGAAGAAGGTGTTAGTCTTATACTTAAGAATCTTACCATGTACATGAAGAGTCACTCTCATAATTAGCTATAAAATGTGATGAGAGATTTAATGAATTTTTATATACATTGTTATAATTTATTTAGGCAAATTGATTTTTAAAAAATTGCTTGTATCTTAAAGCTCTTCATATCTAGCTTTTTACATTAATAGAAGACCCTGACTTACTGCTAAGCTCACTAATAAAATTTTATGTTAAAATAGGAGAGCAAAGTCCCAATGTATCACTGATGCAGAGAATGTCTGATATGCTGTCGAGATGGTTTGAGGAAGCAAGTGAAGTTGCACAAAGCAATAGAGGACGAGGAAGATCTCGACCCAGAGGTAATTGTCTTATTAATAAAGTCGTCCTGAAGCCGGCAAAAACTGTTTATAGAAGTTAGTTTCATTTGTATCAATGTTACATCATGGTTTATGTCTGTAGTCATCACAAGGTTTGTGCAGTTGATCCCAGAATTCTGGTTCCACAAGCTGCAGCTTTTACCTTTCACTTATTTCAAAAAAAAGGAAAAGGAGGAAGAGAGAAGAGCCTGACATTTCCTATTTTTAAATGTACTTTGAGAATGGAAATGGCAAAGTTATAAACAAGTTTTATATAACTGGGAAGACTGATTATTTTAACAAAAATACGTTTTTTTGTTTTTTTTTTTTTTTGGTTTTTCTCCAGTACCGGGAACCGAACTCACGACCTTGCGCTTGCCAGGCAGGTGCTTTTGCCGCTGAGCTAAATCCCCAGCCCCAAAAATACGTTTTATACCTAGGTTTTTACTCCTCTAGATTAGTTAGTTTGGTCAGATGAACCAAACCACCAGAGATTGTTACTGATATCCTGAAGTAATGAAGTTGTGTGTATGTACAAGTGTGTGAAGACAGCTTTTTTAGAGTTGTTGGTTTTTTTAATCAGTTAAAATTTGAATTTGCCTTAACATGCGTTTTTGTGAAGGTGGAACAAGTCAGTCGGATGTTTCCACTCTTCCTGCGGTCCCCTCAAGTCCTGATCTGGAAGCAGGCGAAACTGCAATGGATGTAGATGCTCCAGCCGAGCCGTTTCTTCAGCCTTCGACGTCGTCCACTGGGTCTGCTCAGGCTCATTCAGTGAGCTCTTCCACCGGGAGCCCGCGCTCGACGTCTTTGCTGTCTTCTCCAGACAGTGAGCAGAGGCAGCCTGCCGAAGCCTCTGGACACCATGCGCATCATCAGTCTGGTAAGGGTGTTACTGTTCATGTAGGCTGCTGTCTGTCTGATGATTCTGATACTGAAAACTTTTAGTTTGTTTTGTAAGGTACTAAACGATACCAACTTTGTGTGCGAATAAATGATCAAAATGATACGTAATTTATGATCGTGTAACTTAAACACAGAACTCAGATGTGCCTAACGTGCATGAATTTTAACAAACAGCTGGAATATTCAGTTTATTCAGTTTAAACAAGTTTTTCTTTAAACTCCCAATAGCTGGTGTTTTGACATAGACCATCATAGGTAGACCAGTATTTTATAGACCATTATAGACCAAAATCTTGCTAGATTTGGCTGTGTGTGTACATTAAAGTGATAATGAGGGGATGTAGCTCAGTTGCGCAGAGCCTCCTTGGGAAGCACGGGGTCCTGAGTTCGATTCCTGGTACCAAAAAAAGGGCGATGAAAATGTAGATCATTATTTATTAGTTCCATTGTGTATGTATTCTTTGTTACTTTTCCTTGAGTCATGAAGTTCTTCCATTACATTCGGATTCTGTTGTCTCTTGTCAACAACATAAATTATTCCTCCAATATTTACTTGAAAAATAATTATTTTACCAAATTGTCATCTTCTTAACTAATTCTGATTACACATATGAGTTAAATATTCTGAAGCTTAATTTTTTTAACTTTTAAAAAATAGATACAGGGGCTGGGGATTTAGCTCAGTGGCACAGCACTTGCCTGGCAAGTGCAAGGTCGTGAGTTCGATTCCCGGTACCAGAAAAAAACAAGCCCCCCCCCAAAAAAATAAATAAATAAAAAATAGATATGTAACGTACTTAATACTCCATTTCAAATTATTAAACTGATTTCAGTAATGTATTGAGTACTACAGTCATTTGAATCATTCAGATGAAGCATTTTTTGATGGACATATGACCATTGAATTATTATTCAGCACCTTTGTGTGCACAGTTTCCAAAGAAAGTAAAGAAGTGTTTTTAACTGGGAGATTATTGAGGGAAGTTTGATTGACTAAACTATGGATAATTGGGATATTTATATGTTTCTAAGACAGTATTGTTACTGAGGAAAATAATTTTATGTTAGCTTTAATCGGTAAAGATTAATGTCTATAAACTGTTCTGACGGTGGCTCTTTCATCCAGAGTCCAGCATTAAGAATAAGCACTTAATGTATTTCATTTTGTTTTACTTTTGCCCAGTCTCTTTTGTCGTTACCATAGCCTAAGTCCAGATGATTTTACAGGTATCAGGAATTGTCCACTGGGCGATTTGGTGGGTGGAAGTACTAGTGTATGAGGCATGATTTCTAATGCCTTGCTTCGAGATAGAGAAATAAACAGCTGGTTTTCTGTCTTGTACTTGCCTTGCTGTGGATACTTCTTTATGTCAATGTTTATGCTTTTCCTTTATATATTTTGTATTTATTTTTATCATTTTTATTAGTAAAGTACAGTTGGAATGTGAGAACTGTGGTCAAACTCTTAGTCTCCAACTAAATCACTGAGCAGCACTGAAGAAAGTCAGATTTTCCTGGGTGCTTAACACTGTTGGAGGAGTCTGTCTTTGAACACTGTTGCTGTCCAACTATACACACCATTTAGCTTGTCCCTTCATCTCTGTGACCTTTACCTCTCCTTGGTCCTTTCCTGCCTTCAGCGACTAACTTTTCATTCACAATGAAAAGCACGCATTTTCCTGCTGTTGAATCATCCAACTTTCCACATCTACATTCACATTGTCTATGCTAGAAGCAAAAACACATTTTGGAAGAAATCTGTCTTTTCCCATCAAGTCCTGCTGGTGCAGTTGCTGTCCCTTCCCAGCTTCCCACTTTGCTGCTTCTCCTCCACCATTATGCCTTTTCTGCCAAATTCTTTTCAGCCTTTAATGTGCTCTTACTTCCACCAGAAAATACATGTTCTTACCCCACATTCCCTCACAGCTGCTCTTCTGCCTCATCTCTGTACTCCTTTTATGCTTAAGAGTCCTCAGAAGAGTTGGGCACATATACTGTCTTCATTTTCTTACCCCATTTATTCCTGACCAGCCCAAATCTATTTTTCAACTCTTTTTTTCATCAAAAGTTTTGCCAGGTCACCAGTGACCTGAGTCATTCCAAATTTAGAGGATATTTGTCTGTTAGTATCTCACTAGGCTTTTTTTTTAAAAAACCCAATTACTTTTAACCTCGTCTGTCAGTGATTTCTTGAAACACTTTCTTTTCTTGGCTTTTATGACACATTTGCCTTTATATTTTTATTACCAACTCTGGCTGGTTTTCAGTAACCATTGTTCATATTTCCTTTTCTACCTGCTTCTAAAAATTAAGTTGAATCCCCAGTCCTACTGTGTTTTTTCCTCCTTGTATATGCTTATCTTTCTATTTCCCCAAAGATTTTAATTTATTGCCCCTTAAATTTAAGACTCCCAAAGGTATATTAACAGTCTGATCGTATACCCTGAATTCCATACTCTTATGTCCAATTGCATTTCTTTTTGTTTGTCTTTAAATATCTTAAATTTAAGGTGTCCAAACTAAGACTTAATTTAGCCTCCTGCCATTTCTGTTTCCTAATTGGTTTCTTAATCCCTTTATGGCTTAGTAAATTATAAGATCATCTGCCTATTTGCTTATTTAAATAACCCATGAATTATTCTTGATTCCTTTCTGTCAAGCTCCACTTCCAATTCATCAACAAGTTGTACTGGTTCCGTATCTAAAATATATTTACTTCTTCCCATATCACTATCATTTTTTGTTTCCTGATTGAGCTCATTGCATTTCCTCTTTCCCTGGTAAGTTATTCTCCATGCAGCAGCCAGACTATTTTAAAATGTTGAATCAGATTATATAACTTTGCTGTTTAAAATTCACCAGGCATCTGATGCATTTAGAAATATGGTACAACCACAAAAACAAAAAACATCAAAGTTACTGTGGACCTATAAGAAGCTATGGCTTGGCCGATGTCCACCTCTCTAGGTTCTTTTCATCCTACTTTGTCGGTCCCCAGTAGTTGTTAAAATCATGATTTCCTTTCTCTTCCTTTAATGTGTCAAATTCTCTTCTGTTCCTTCCTTTCTTTTTTATTTGAACTTAAGTTCTTACTGTTCTTTGTTCCTTGGTAGTTTTTCTGCCAGCTTATCATACAGCCAACTCATTTTTCCCCTTAGTTCTTAGCTCAAATGTTATCCAAAAGAGGCCTTTCATAACTACTCCTAGACAAAGGCCTGCCCCTTTCTACTCTCCCTAAAATTTTGCACTCTAATATAACCCTCTTTATTTCCTGATTCATACTTACAAAAAAAGTATACTGCTTTTTTCATTTTGATCAATTCATATATGACATTTCTCTTACTAGGATGTGCTCTCACAAAGATAGGGACATTATCTTGTCTCTAATCTCTGTGTCTTTTTCGTCCATCAGTAAAGATACAGCAAGAGCATTGGGAGACACTTAGTTATCTTTGAGCTGCTATAGGCTACGTAGGGTATATGTAGGCCTGTTTTAGTCTTTAGAGTTTTAACCCCACTTCATTAACTCCAGATGTTTCCAGTAAGCTCCCCAGATTTTATGACACCTGGGTAGATATTGTGATTAGATATCCAGTTATTTATCATTTAGATCCCTTATTTACCCTATCCCATTGCATCCTTTTAAGAGTTAGATAATTTTTCTTATCTTTCTCCATAAGTGTTTTGAGATGAGTTACAAAATATTTTCTAAAAATCATGTGGCTGTATATATAAATGAATGAATTGGGACAGATAAAAAAAATAGGTAGGATAAAAATAAAATGAAGTCATGAGGTGAATATACAAAATGCATGAGCTGAGCAATAGGACGTACAGCGGGCACTACAGAATTGGCTTTGGGTTTTGGAGCTGAGCTAGGAAAATAAGTGTACTCAAGAGTTATTCAAAATCAGTGGGTAGATCTTTTCTTCTACTCTTCCTTTGCTTCTTTACCCTGTGTATTCTTTAATATTTTTGATTCACGTGAGAGACCATTTGAAACCATATTCTACATACATAGTCCAGAATTTAATCAGACATTTTGATTCTTACATGTATTATTGTCCTGAACATTTCACAGAAGACTGTGCTGCTTAAAAAGTAGTTATAAAATTATGTATTTAAAGCTTGGAAATATATGATGATGTGCTAAACCTATATAGGTTAAAAGGAAATCTTCACAATTTTATTTTTTTTAAATTTTAAGTGACTATAGAACAGTACCTTCTTTTCTCTGTAATGCCTATCAGATATCTTTAAGTTGTTTCTTCTAAGCCTGGAAATATTTTCATGAATGTGCTGTTTATAAATTTTTCATCTTAAGCTTCTTGTGATGAGTATTAAGTAAAGCAGTCTTTCTAGTGTTATAATTTAATTTTTTTTCCTTTGGTTTCATTTTAACCTTTAAGTATATAATTAGAGAAAATGATATTTTTGGGTTGGGTGGAGATATTATATTGGCACATACAAAACTCAGTTTGGGGGGCTCCCTTTGAGAAGTGAGTTTCTCAAAAGATCCCTGTGTTTCTAATTAAATAGCCCTCTCAGACCATAAGAATTCAGTTTGTTTAGATATAAGATCTGTGTATGGATTTCTGCTTATTTACAAATACCCCTGCTGAAGCTTGCAAATTTATTTAGGTCTATGAATAATCATTGCAGCTAAATTGACTTCTATCGAAAAATTGCTGGCGCGTGAAGGACTGTCATACAACCTATCAAAGCCCAAATATCTAAATTGTAGTTTTCTTAAGTAGGATCAACGTCTGGGCAGTCTGGGTATAAACTGTTTACAGATTAGAGACAGGTGGAAATACTAGGTCAGTAGTCACTGTGGGGATACTGAAGGAGTGAAAAGAGAGTCTTGGGAAGTCAGTGAAGGAATGAGCAATCCCAGTGGAAGGATCTACAAGAGTCACTGAGACAAGAAGCAGTTTGGGACTGGAAGACAGACTGATAGCAGATGGATAGATAATAATTCAGGGTCCGCTACAGAAGACCCTACAGATTGTAGAGGTATGATATGAGCTTAGACCGAGTGGCCCTTTGTTGGATCAACTGTAGCTAGTTTTATTCTTCTGTCAGTAGATGTAAGGCAGTTGGGAGAATATCCTCGAGTTTTTCAGGAGAAAACTAGAATGGGATTAGTAGTTTCAGGAGACGGAAGTACAGATTTCCTCTAGTAATTCTTGATACTTTGTTGAGTTTTTGTTGTCATTTAGAAAATTCATCTAGAGTGTTCGTTGTGTTAATTTTTAATTTTGGCTTTATGTTAACAAAAATGAATTCTCTAAACATTATAAGTGATATATTAATGTGTACATTTTTTAAAGGATATAATATGTGTGTGCTATAATATTCCAGACTGCCAAGCAGAATTGTTCATATTTTTGATTCATTACTTACCTTTCCTAGTTAACTGGGTGGTAACTTCCTAGCCTCACATTTTCTTCTTTTTTTAATTTAACCTAAGTGGGGAGCTTCCATACAACCAGCCTTAGAAGTAGACAGAAAATATCTTTTTTAAGTAACACTGGAAACACTTGAGTAAGTGCTTGTAATATTTATTATCTTAATAAATCTTGATTTTCCAAGTTACAGAGCATTAGCGCCTGCACCTGGAGCCTGTTCTTCCCTTGCCTCATCACTGAGGGGTTCCAGGCTGGAGACTTCTACCTTCATGTAACATTTTGGCAGCTCCACAGAGAGTCTGAAATTCCACAGTGAAACAGGGTGATTTTTTTTTTTTTCTTGGTCTTTTTCATGTGGCCTCTAACTTGCCGTCCGCCTGCCTCAGTAGCTGGCTAGTCAATTTTGTACATACCTACTCCAAAACTAGTTCCTCCTCCTAGCCATTAGAACCCATATCCTTTACTGTACTTACGGATGTCTTTCCTGTGGTTGCCCACTTTTTCCATGCATTACCTCCCCTCCAGTTACCCATTTCCCATCAGAATGCAAACTTGTTCTTTAATCTCCCAAATTAAAACACACAAGCCTCCCTTGACTCTTTTCCTGTGGACTGTCATTTGATTTCTGTTCTTCACTTACAGCAAGACTTCTGGGAAGTGCTCGTGCTTTGTGTCTGTTGTGCACTCTCTCCCCCCTCTCTCAGACTTGCTGCAGTTTGGTTCTGGCCCCTGTTATTACACTGAAACGGCTCTTTGCTAGGTCACCAGTGACTTCCATGCCCCTACAGAACCAGTGCTTAGATCTCAGTCAGCATCCTCTTCAGTCTGCCACCAGTATCTAACCCAACTGCTTGCTTCCTCCTTGACCCCCTCTGGCTTTTATTCATACTGCTCTTAGAGTCTTCCTCCTCTTACACGTTGTTGTTCCCAAGATTCAGTTCTTAGATCTCTTCTCTGTCATCACTTGCTTTCTGGGGAGCTTAAAGTAACATCACCAGCTTTAAATATCCGGGATAGTGATGATGAACCTTTTTGAGCTTTGAGTGACATAAGCTACCCACTGTGGCACGTGTGCCATAGATTCGCCACCGCTGACCCAGGAACCCTACACTCTTAAAATTCAGTCTTTGTTGAGTTTTTCCACTCAGCTGTTTTTCCTTCCCAAGCAAAACTTGTTCTTTCTTCATTGTTCCTCATTGCAATGAATGATAACCCTGCTTTTCCTATTATTAGGCCAGAATCTTTGGGATCATTCTGCATCTAAACCATCACAAATTCTCTCTGTAAAATATGTCTCAAACCTTGATAAACTTCTTTCCTGGGCATTTAAACTGTTCTCTCCTCTGCATGGAAAATTCTTCCTGCAAGTGTCTGTGTGGTTCACTCCCTCACGTCCTTGAGGTCTTTATTCAAAATGGCACCTTATGAGAGAAGCATTTTCTATGACCATGTACAGAATAACAGTTCTCCCCTACCATCTGCTTCTCTGTTACCTTACCTTGCCAGCTTAATTCAGCACATATCACCATAGGACACATGGAAACACATAGGTACACTCTGTATGTATAACATGTGTAATTTATAGCAGTTTTCCTCTAAGACACATGCAAACATATATGCACATTCTGTGTGTAATTCATAGCCGTTATCCCCGTAAGACACATGCAAACATGTACAACCTGTGTGTGTATAATTCATAACACCTATCCACATAGGACACATGCAAACACATATATACTCTGTGTGTATTTATATAGTGCTTGTGTTTATGTATTTGCAAGTATCTTTATTTCCTCCAGAACATCAACTGTATAAGAATAGGGAATATTTTGTTAAATGTTTAATTTATCTGCAAACCCTCATATATGTTAGGTATTCAACAAAGGCCTTTTTCCAGAATTGCATGGTGTTTCTTTTATTTCCTTTTTATCTTCAGGTAAAGATTAAGAAAATATTACATTACTATTTTTGAACTAAAAAAAAAAAAAGTAAATGATAATTCTAACAGGTAGTTCACTTTTTACAAAGATTTGATAAATTTCAAGAGTTGTTTCCAAATGCATAGCTTTTTATTATTTTAATTATCATTTGATTGAAATTAGTCAAATAACTTAAATTTTTGTGTGTACAGTAAATGATTTAACTGATATTTTGCAGTTAATATTTTTTAGTGTCAGTTTGTTATAAAAGAGAAAATTAGTGAGGGAAGGAATGTTTAGTTTAAAATCTTCTGAGCAGGGGGGTAGCTCAGTGATAGAGTGTGTACTTAGCATGTGTGTGTGAGTCTCTAAGTTGAGTCCCTAGCACAAAAAGTACAGTCATGTTTTGCCTACAGAGGACTTTATTTTCGTCTTGCTTAATTAAATATTCTTAGGGAGATGTATATGTCTAATTTACCGTAAAGAGAAGTAGCCCAGTGGATGCACATAATTTGTCTCATAATTTAATAACTAGTAATTCATCAATAACTTGTTAGTATTCTATGAGACATGTTTTATTTATCTTCCTCTCTTTAATGATTAATCAGATTCTTATTATTTTCTGTTTCATAATTCTCTCATAATTACTCTCATAATTACTCTCTTTTCACCTTTCTTTTCCTGTCTGTATCAGAATTTTTAAGGGGGCCTGAGATAGCTTTGCTCCGTAAGCGCCTGCAGCAGCTGAGGCTTAAGAAGGCTGAGCAGCAGAGGCAGCAGGAGCTGGCTGCGCAGAGCCCGCAGCAGCCCTCCACTTCCCATCAGCCTTCCTGTGAGGGCGCCTCCCAGGACCCTCAAGCTCCAGGTCATTAACGTCATGTGTCCTTGAGCAGCTGGTAGAACTGTTGTTAGTACTGCTACTTTGTAATCAGATGCTTCCCTTTCCCATTCAAAAAAAGAACTAATGCGCTTGCAACTTATCCCTCTTCCCTTGCACATAATGCTATTCAGCATCTGTCCTGGCAGACCAGATTGGCAGCAGCATTTGCCAGGATGTGAATACAAAATAATCCTTTATGTTATTTGTTATATATTTGGAGAGGGACAGATCTTATTACTTTTACAGCTGGTGAGCTCCTTTCTAATAATTACCTAGCGAATTCAGAGCCTGCATTGGTATTTTTGCTGAACTTCCCTCTATGCTGAATTGAATTTGCTTATGGGATCTTAGCTCTTGTCTTTTTTTCCCCTGCTTTGATAGATATTAGAATTATAGTGTTTGCCCATACTAGCACGATAATTCAGTCATTCCCTTTTGTCAGTATTTGAGATTTTTCCATATTTGCTAACTTATTCCTTCTATACATAATCAATTCCTAATATGTAAGGTAGCAAAAGTAGTCTATGGCCTCATTTTCCTGTTACTACCGCAGTCAAATTCTGGTAAAATAGTAGTAATCTGTGCCACTCTGGAGTATTTTAATGCTCCAATTCTTTTAAAGCTAATTATACTCAGTAGACACTTGTTGAGTTAATAAAGGATGCAGTGCAAAGTAATGTAAACTTAGTTCTTTCAAGATGGATAATAAGGACTATAAATCCTATAGTACAGGTGTGATAGTAGTGTATTAATATTTAGGAATGAGGATGTGTCTAGACTGTCATATTCATGACTTTTTGTATTTTGCTTTTAATTTTATTCATTTTAAAGTCTCACTGTCTCACTGTGTATTTCAGCCTGGCTTTGAACTCACTGTGTAGCCTAGGCTGACCTCAAACTCAGGGTGATCCTCCTGCCTCAGCCTCCCAAGTGCTGAGATTACACTCAAGTGCCACTATACTTGTCTTCTAATGAATTAATGATGTATTATTTGATGTGCTTTGTTCTTCCACCCTAAGTAGTGATGAATTTAGGTATTAATTACTTTTGAGAACTCTGATTTAATTACTTGAAATCAGCCAGTACTATATATGGTTAGAACTAGGCAATCCCCACTTTGTAAACATCTGTTTCAGTAAGTGCTCTGTAACAAAAGCACATTATGTAATACTGTGGTAAAATAAACTTAAACTAGTCTGATATAGATATGATGTTGGGGCAAATCATGGACTTGGTTTGTAATTCAGTGTTATATTATTGGAAGGAATTTCAATCAATCAAAGACTTTCCTGGTGTTTTGTTTTGTTTTCCTTTAGGAATATCTTTTCCTATGCCTCAAACTTACAATTAAACAGAAATATTTGACCAGATTACCACAGTGGCACTCACTAAAAGTTTGCTGTGGGGCTGGGGATTTAGCTCAGCGGCACAGTGCCTGCCTGGCAAGTGCAAGGTCGTGAGTTTGATTCCCGGTACCAGAACAAACACAATAAAAGATACTGGTTTTGGGGCTGGGGATTTAGCTCAGTGGCAAAGCGCCTGCCTGGCAAGCGCAAGGTCGTGAGTTCAGTTCCTGGTACCAGAGAAAAACCAAAAAATAAATAAATAAATAAAAGTTTGCTGTGATTTTTTGTACTATATCTTAACACTGTAGCCAGAGTATTTTGAAAGTAAAAAGAAATCATGAAACATAAGGAATAGGGGCCAGGGATGTAGCTCAGCGGCACAGTGCCTGTCTGGCAAGTACGAGATCCTGAGTTTGATTCCCAGTACCCCCCACCAGAAAAAAGAAAAAGAAAGAAAGAAATGTAAGGGATAAAAAAGAAAATAAAATGTCCTTACATATATACCTACTTTAAAAGTACCAACATTTTGCAGGTTTGTTTTTAGTAGTTTTTATACAAATCAAGTGCAGTATTAAAGCGAGTTTGAGTAGAGTTAAAACTTTCAACATTAGCAAGAAATTAAGTGTACATTGTAGATGTCAGGAAAATATTTGGGACTACTAGCCTTCTGTATACTTCAAAATTTGAATTGAAGGAAGTTCTTTTTAGGGTCAGAAATTTAAGGTGATTGTAGGATCTCTATGAATTGAATACTGTCCTCCCGCTTCCTAGGACCATTCTAATTATATAGTACCTAATTTTCCTAACTAGTTCAATTGTGGTAAACATTAAGAAGCTAGTTGAGTAGACACTTCACCAGTTTTGAAGCTGGCAAATGCGTTGTTTTTCCTGTGTTATTAAAGAACATTCTTGTGCCCCTTAAGCTGCTCACACGCCCCTGAGTGTTGCTGTTCAGTGTAAGTTTATCCCTTCACCTGAGGCAGTTGCCTGTATCTCATGTGTTTAACACAGCATTCAGGTGAGGTGCTAATAAATCTAATCTGTAGCATGCCTTGTGTTCATTTGCTAGTGCTACTTTGATCTTATTCCGTCCTCACATGTCATAGGAACACTACTGATAGTTAAAAGCTTTAAAAACACTTAGTAAGGGACACCTAATAAAATCTGTATCATTTAGTATATTTGGGGGTATGATGAAGAATGAATTGGCTTAATGCAAAATTCATTTCAGAGCACAAATTATAAAAATACAGAATAGAAATTAAATTTATGAAATTAATGATTAGGTAAAGTTTTGTATATTATAGACAGAAAGCACCAAAATCAATATTCTAGATTTTACTGATATTAGAAAAATGTACATTTTTCATGTATAAAAAGCATATTTTCCATTATACCATGGAGTATAGTAATTGATCATCCTGCCAGTAGTGATATTTCCATTGCCTTTCCACAAGATTTTTAGGTAAAAGTTGCTCAAAGGAGACATGATTATAATTTGGAAACCGAGAAACTTTTTTTTTTTTTTTTTTTGGTCTTTTTGAGATAGGGTCTCCCTATGCAGTTCACGCTGGCCTTGAGCTCACTTTGTAGCCCAGGCTGATTTTGAACTTGCAATGATCCTCCTGCCTCAGCCTCCCGAGTGCTGGGATTACAGGCTTGTGCCACCACGCCCGGCTGAAACCAAGAAACTTTAACAAGCACAAATAGAACTTCTGAATTACTGTATTGCTAAACATTCTTTTTGGAAAACATAGGACTCATTGGAATCTTTTGTGAAAGTCTAAGATAAATCAACAATACCTAACTTTTATAGGAAAGTAAGATCAAAGCACTTTCCAGGAAGTGAGGTCAAATAGGAAGGAGCCTGTTACTGGTTAATGATAATCTCAAATGGAGTAGTAAGTTACCAGTATTTCTTGACAGTTGAAAACTAAAACATCACTCCAGACACCAAATGATATGAACTTTATTTTCAGTTCCTGTTTATGATAAGCTATATACATGTTAGAAGATTGTTCGATTTCCTTTTCTTCCTAGCAATAAACTTTCATTAGAGTCTTTCATGGACGTGCTGATTTAAAACATGTAAAAGTAATACCATAAAAATGAAAAGAGATAAGGAGTGGTGAACTACCTGCTTACCTCTCAGGTGAATCCCAAGGCCCTTATGTTCTCTGAAGCATAGTTTGAAAAACATTACACTAAAAGGATATTTGACACTTACAAATAATAACCCTTTAGTGCTGGCACATGCCTGTAGTCTCAGCATTCAGGAGGCTGAGGCAAGAGGCTCACTGCAAGTTCAAGACCAGCCTGGGCTACAATGTGAGCTCAAGGCCAGCCTGAACTGCATAGTGAGACCCTGTCTCAAAAAGACCAAAAAAAAAAAAATCCTTTAGAACTAATTTTTGAAAAATACAGTTTTCAAGTCAGAATATATTTTAAAATATTATTACTTTACTTTTATAAAATTCTGTCCTTTTCTAGACTGTTAGGAAATGTACCATAACTTATTTAGGAAACATACTGTAACTCATTGTCAAGACTTTTAGGAAACATGTCATAACAAAGAACAAAATCTTTCAGTAATCACATCACTGGCTAAATTTTTGTCTCTGCCCCTATCCCTGGATGATCTTGGGCATGTCATTTGGTTGCCTTATGCCTCAATTTCCCCTTCTTAATTTATAGTTTCTTTCACTTACTACTTCCAAGTGTTCTTATATCACAGTCATTTCAGGCTGGTAGTGAGGATTCTAAAAGAGCTGTGTGTATGTTTATCCAGTGAGTGCCCTAAGCAGTGACAGAGGCATTCAGCTTTCTGGCTGATTGTAAGCCCGACTTTTTTTTTCCATTTCAGGTCCCCTGAACTGATGGGCTGCTGGCTCCTGCTCAGAGTGACAGCACCCTGTGCATTCTGCTGGTACTGGCCCGACCACCACAGAGCCCCACTGGAGCATGGAGCCAGCCTAGAGAGGGTCAGGTAGGAACTGCTTTTTCACTTTATGGCACGGTTTTGCCAATTGGAGAAAAAAAGTAAATTTTATACCCATAAAGGGTATAAAACATTGGTGATTATTTTTGAAAAAGGGCTTTTCAAAACTGAGCCATATTGGAAAAAATCAGCACTTCCCAGTCCTGTGCAAGCAGGCTCTATATAACATAAGATTCCCCCAGTGTCCAAGGTAGTAATCGCATTATAGCTCTTACCAAGTGGATGCATTTGGTCCATGTTTTTAGCATGTGTAGGTGCTTAGTAAATCAGGTATGATGTTGTCTCAGTTCTGCAAGCACTTCCTAACTACCCTGAGTGGCGAGTCCTAAGCAAAACAGTGATGAATCAGTCTCTCCAGTATTTTTCATTCAGTATCATATCTCTGAAAAACAGGAAATTAGTGATAGCATTGGTAAGACCCTGTGTGTTATTTAAGTAGTGATAACATTAGTTGACCCTGTGCATTATTTAGGTAGTTTCCATGGGTTATCTCATCAAGTCTTTGCAGGAACACTGTGTGGTAGATGATTGCCATTTTACAGGCAAAGACAGTGAGATATAAGTAACTTGTCCTGTTTACAGTGTTACTGAGTGGAAAAGTGTGTGTCTTCAAACCCAAGGAGTCTGGCTGAAGAGTTCTTAACTTTTTACCTGTTACATTATAATTGTCTTTTTTTATAGTTAGAAAAAATCTGCTGGGCTGGGGATTTAGCTTAGCGACAAAAGCACCTGCCTGGCAAGCGCAAGGTCGTGAGTTCAGTTCCCGGTACCAGAGAAAAACCAAAAAAAAAAAAAAGAAAAATTCTGCTGTTGAGGAGCTAAAGAATTTTCTGAAAATCAAACTGCTAGTTTTTTGGAAATCTGTAGTAATTGACACTGAGCTTAGAATTGAATGAGCTGTTGCTTGGAAGTTTATCTCCACCTCAAAAATAATACTGTAATTCTAAACACTTACAATAAGCTGACTATATAGCATTTAGTAGTAAATTATCCTTGGGCATATATTCAAGTTTTATTTTGTGATGGTCCTTTCTAGAAGACATTTCACAGAGAAGTGAAGTAGAATATGCAAACAACTGAAGTAGCCATCTTAAACTAATAATTACAATTTTTGATACTAGTATTCTGATAGTTATTATGTTAATACTTGGATACATTTCTGTAAGAGTTATAGAGACTGTATTTATGAATACCTAGAGGCATAAAAGTATGCCACTTAAAATTTGTATGTGACAGTAAAATAATCCTTCCAAAGCATGGTTGCAGAGTCCTACACTCATACATAAAAGCAATAACAAGAGGGATTTCTTCAGCGATTAGCTTTTAACATATCAAGAACAGCAGAAGAATTCCAGAAATGGACAGTATCTGTGACATACTGAAATCAAAAAGGAAGCCCTTTAGTTCAGGAGTATTTTTTTTGTCTTAATGTAATCTTTAATATTTGAGGAGTATAACCTTATTTCTGAAGACTACTTGAACTATTCTAGCAAAACAACATATTGGTAATGTTGAATCTAACTTCTTAAATGGGCACATGAAAAGGAAAGTCAAGCATGACAGATTAAGGAACTGTTGAAATACTATTATTCCCACTTTCTTTTTGTGGTAAAGACCCCTTTATCTGAATGTTCTGATGAAGTGGTAAGGATAAGTCAAAGCTGTGATAATGCTTTATCAAAATCCAGCAAGACATCCCAGTACCAAAAGAAAGAAAGAAAGAAAGAAAATCCAGCAAGACAGAAATCTGTGAGCAAACTAGTATGATATTACAAGCTGGAAGATTTAAACTGAACACAAGTAGTATGAGTAGCAGGATTGAGAGTTTTAAATATACTAATGGAAGCAATCAAATAGTATAAAATTGGTATGATGCCAGGATATGTTGGAAGTTCCTCTCAGCTGCCCTGTTAAGGGTGATCTTCACTTAAAACAGCTACTTTCTGGGGAATGAAATGCCATTATGAGCGAGGCTGCTGATCAATCAAAACGTTGATGAAAATCTAGAGCATAGACTATTAGAAATTAGGAATTATTTTTACACTTGAGACAGAGATATGCATATTACCCACATTTTCCCTTGTACTATAGCTCCAGTGGGATACTGGAGACTGGAACCCAAGCCAGGAATGGGCAGGGGTCAGGGGTCAGGAGTCAGGGGTCCTCCTACAGATTGAGTAGCCCTTATCTGAAATGCTTGGGGATGAAAAATGTTTCAGATTTCATATTTGCTTCACATTTTGGCATATTTTGGAGTATACATTCTGAGTTATCTCAGGGATTCAATCCAAGCCTAAACGTGATTTGTTTTCTCTGTCACCTTCAGTGTGAACATTGGAGGTCATTTCTTAATACAGTATTTTTAGTACAGCTGTGTTTTGACTGTGACCTGTCTACATGAGGTCAGGTGCAGAATTTTCCACTTGTGGTGGAACATGTGGTGTCATGTTAGCACTTAAATAGTTTTAGATTTTGGAGCATTTTGGGTCTTTGGATTAGGGATGTTTAGTCTGTATTTTCCACTACTTTGATTAGGTTACTAGAGCTCTAGCTTCATGAGGGAGAAAGAAGCTTGGGCTTACAAGTGTTGCTGATTATTGTTAGAACTAGGTTTAAAATCAATACTTACTAACTCCAGACAGGTGCCCTTTCATCTTACCATGTTACTAGTAAAATCCATTCACAGAATTCATTAATTCTTATGTAGATACCCAGTATATACCAAAGATTAAAAAAAACTTTTTATAGCCAAAGTAGAAATTACAAAGCCCAGACCATTAACCTTTCTCCTTGCCTCTCTTTTTCTTTCCCCACCACATATCTCTAACAAAACCTAAGCTTTCACAGAGTATAGTTTTAATAAGCACAATCTACTATAGAGTTTTTTAAAGTTACATATGTTTCTGTGAAGGTGATTGCTTTATTCAGTATTTTTCTTATAAAACATTTTCTCTGTCTGACATCTTGACTTGAGCTCCTTGTTCGGCTCTTGGTATAACCTACCGCATCTCACCACGTTCAGTGCGCACCTCATTTCATGCCCTGAATCCTCCGAGGCAGGCTGAAAGCACCTAGAGGAGCTGGAGAGGCAGTGCACCTTCAGCTTAGGGGGAATGCCCCATTTCTAATTTATCCTGTACCTTGCACCTGTCCTAAATAAATTTGATAAAAGGTATGTGCATGGAAGTAGAGTATTTTCTCAACTGATTCTGAAAGTTGCTAAATGCTTGCCTGGAATAACATTTGAAGCACATGGCCTTGCTTACTTACTGCTTGGAAAACCATACCACAGTACTTGCTTCTGTTCCTCACCCTTGAACATTTGTTTCTTAAGCATAGAGTTGATCATGACATTGCTGTGCAGTTTTCTGCTGCTTACTTTTAAGTTGACATCTCATTTTTGTTTCAGATTCTCCTTCTTCTGTGGTTAACAAACAGCTCGGATCCATGTCACTTGACGAGCAACAGGGTGCGTGCAACAGGAGATGCGCTATGCCCATCCATCCATAGCTATATTGCCATGCATAAACAAAGTTCCTTCTCGCTCTTACATAGCATTTCATTTTGATTATGGTCTTGTAGTCAGTATTTCATAGTCTAAGTTACTCTAGATGGTATTGGTCCACAAAGAGCCCCCTTGGCCAAATTACGTTTTGTGTCAGCTAATTTCTAAGTTGGACCTTTTCCCCAACTTTGAGTTCTCTCCCTGTAACCATGTTGTAATGGATGTTAACTGTATCCATCCATTTTAAAATTCTAGGTATTTATCATAAAATTGTGTAGAATTGTGGGTGCAAGGTTAGTATCCTACCTCCTTGCTCATTTAGAAGTTACTTGAACATAGTGATAATCCATATTACTAGATTGCTGTGGTAATGACACTTGGTTTTCTGTTTCCCTTATTGGGTGGTCAAATTCCTGACAGGTTTTACTACAGGGAGAGATCAACTCGAAAGCTACCATTTAGAAGGGAAAATAGCTTCTCCTTCCTTTGGCCTTTTGAATTAGACCAATTATAGAATCAACTTTAAAGGCTCAAGGAGAATCCAATGAGAGGGAGAGGCTACTTACTTAGCAGACTTTATCATAAGCAGATAGAGTACAGTACGGAGAGGGATTGGTCAGTGAGGCTGTGCTAACGAAAAGGGGCACCTGCAAAGAAGGACGAGGAAAGGAGGACTGTGAAACACTGAAATTAGAGAAAAGGATGGTTTACTATCTCGACTCAGAATGCCCTGAAATATTGTAAATATTTTGAGACACAGTATGATAAATGATATTATTAATGTTAAGTGAATAAGAATAACTTAAAATGATGTCACTTTTCTCTGTGGAAAAAGGTAGATGGGTACCTAATAGATTTTACAGATTTTTTGTTTTTTAATTGTTTTCCCCCTTGAGACAGGGTCTTACTATGTAGTCCAGACTGGCCTTAAACTTGCCAGGTGGCCCAGGCTGGACTCAAATTCTCAATCTCCTCCCTCAGACTTCTATAGGTGTGTGTCACTAAACCCAGCCAAATTTTTTTTTTAAATAGTAAAAAAGCTGTAAAATTTGGTTGGCTGAAAGTTTATATGTGTAGGATAACTCCTTGTCGAGAGTAATGGGGAAATTAAATATTGCTGTAATACCAATTTGATATGAAACAGACTTTTAACTGTCTTCTTAGAGAAATATTCAGAGACTAATTTTAAAATAAATTAGAAAATTTCTGAACATCTGATCTTATTTTTTGTAGATCTGAGATGACATGTATTGCTCTAATATTTTTTTCCTTTGCTCTTAAAAAAGAATTAGTAAATGAATTCGACTCTAAGAAATTAAGCATGTTTTATCTTTATACATTTATTGCAGTGATATTTAAAGTGAAAACCCATTTATGGCATATTTTAGTATATTGTACTGTAGCCAGATTAATGTTCTATTTAATCACTTAGAGTAATTTTAATTATATTGAGTGGTATATTCAGTATAAGTTGGTGCTTATTTTACATGTGCTATAGAATATAAAGAAAGAGAGGAATCAAGCTTACCTCCCAAGATTTTGAGCTTAGTGCTTGGGTGAGTGGTGAAGCCATTTGCTAGGCTTGACAGCTTGGGAGAAGAAATTAAGAGATTCTTTGTCTTCGGGGCCATGTAAAGTATGATATGTATTTTGGTCACATAAGTGGGGGGGTTATGTAAGAGATCAAATAATGAGTCTATTTGGCAGAAACTACATTGTAATAAACCATTATAAATGTGACTTTGTGATAAGGCCTTTGAGTAGAAATGTTCTAATGATGAGTAATACATCCAAATTAGTTAAGTCTTTAAGTTTTTACGTGCCTTTTTGTTCATCAGGATCACATTACCTGCAGATAACTTGTACTATAAGAATTAAGAGACTGCCTCATCACTGAACTGTCTCTGTTGGTCTTTTCACTTCCACTTAGGCTGTCGTTTCTTCACTACCAGCAGCCGGAGAGATTTTTAAAGATGTCAATAGAGTCATCGTGCTATTTGTGTGCCTAAAATATTTCAGTTGCTCCTCTTAGTCCTTCAAAGCAATCCATATATATGCCTTGGTTTTAAAAGCCAAACATGAAAAAATAAATAAATAAAAGCCAAACATGAGACCTGGCCTCTCGCTAACCTCCTCTTGGGCCCCTCACTCCTCACGTACCACCCTGGGCCAGGTGCTGTAGGCTCTTTCAGCTCCTGACTCCCCTAGCTCCCTCCCCTCCTGGCCTTTGGACACACCCACTGCCCTTAACCCTAACTACTTCTCTGCTAAGCAACTTCTACTCATTTTTTGAGTCTCCCTTAGGTATCACTTTCTCTAAAATAAAGTGACCTCCCAATCTTCAGTAGTTCGGCCCTTTTTCTTTCTTTTTGACTTTTTCTTTCTTTTGTAATCATGTATTCATTTAGGGGATTTTAAAAAATATTTACCCCTCTCTGTATTCTTTAAATGCTTTTTCATTCTCTCTAATATAGTCAGTGTGTAAAGTTATAACATTGATTATATAGTAAACAATATTTGTTGAATGAATAGATGAACTAACTCTTTAAGCAATGTGTAGCTGTGGAAATCATTTCAGCTTGGAACAGCATGATGAGATTTATATATTGGTAAGTTCACTTTGAAAGCATTATGGACGATTGATTGGAAGATGCAGTAGGATTAAAAATAGTAAGAACATATGAGAAGCTATTGGAATAATCCAGATGAGAGATGAGGGATCCAATCTAAGACCATAGCAATGGGAAATGAGAATGTACTAAATCTAAGTATATGAGAGGTGGAATAAATGGGACTTGGGTTAGGCGTGTAGCTTAGTAGCATAGCACTTGCATGGCACGCCTTAGGCCAGTAATGGCAAACCTTTTAGAGCTTTCGTGATAACAAATAGCCCACTGTAGCACGTGTGCCACTTGTTCACCACCACTGCATTAGGCCCTGGGTTTGATCCCCAGCACCAACAAAAACAGTTTTTTTTTAAGTAAAAGAATAAATGAGACTTTGAAACTGATTAGTTAGAAATGAATGCGAGAAGCTAGGCTTGGTAGTGCAGACTTGTAATCTCAGCTACTTAAGAGGCTGAAGCCGAAGGATCATAAGTTGGAGCATGGCCTGAGCAACTTCATGAAGCTGTATCTCAAAATAAAATTAAAAGTCAGGGGTATAGTTTAGCACACCCTGGGTTCAATTCCCAGTAGCACCCAGAAACAAAACAAAAACCTGAGCCTGGGTAATTCATAAAGCAAAGAGGTTTATTTTGGCCACAGTTCTGGAAGCTAGGAAGGTGCTGGCATGTACTTGGCTCTTAAGGTATCTGTCTTTCTCTTGCGTTAACTTGTTTTTTCCTCTTACAGTTGTTTAGAGCTAGGTGTGGTGATGCATGCCTGTAATCCTAGCACCCTGGGAGACTGAAGCAGGATGATCACAAGCATCTCTAGTCATAATCACCTTTAACAATAAGAATAGATGAAGAGAAATGAAAAGCAAATGTGATGAGTGAAATAGAGGTGTAAATAACAGGGTTCAGTGGGTGGCACATGGGTGAGCCTTCACCCCCTTGGGCACAGGGAGATCTGAGAGATGTGTATGGTTGAGTGAGGCGAAGGACCGAGGAAGGGAAGCATGCAGAGAAGGCCAGAGGCTCTGAGATGCCACATTCCAGTGACCAGAAGACTCCTGGTAGAGCTGGACAGTGCTTTTGCCCAGACTGAGAACGACCTGAGGGCATTTTAAGGGTTTAAATTTTTGTTTAAGAACAAAGGGAAGCCTAAGGAAGGATTTAAAATGGGGGATGTGGCCTGATGTATTGAATAGGGTATGGAGACTTGATTAAGGACTAAGTCTGGAGCTTCTTAGGGAGATAGAGATTTTGACCTGCCAATTAAGGTAAGAAAGATGTGAAAAGATTAGGAAATATTTCAGGTGTAGAATAAATAGACCTTGATGAGAGCGACAGCAAGATAAGAGGTTGAAGAAAGTCCAGAGTGTAAGATTCAATTTCTGTAGTTTAGGAATGTCAGTCTGGCTGGAGGGGACAGGGACAGGACACGTGTCTTTAGGCATCTGTTATACAGCAAATACTGTACTGCGTCTTTACTTAGATTATACAGTTATCTGTGGTGCTTTGGGGGGATTAATAGGTGACTTTCCCAGCCACAGTAACTCCCTCGTTTTGATTGTGCACAAGTGGGTGATGACTTCCTTAAAAAAGCAGTCCTGGGAAGGGAATAAGGGGTGTGTAGTGGGTGGTGGGTGGCACAGGCTCAGTTTTGAATGAACTGAATGTAAGTTAACTTGTATGAGACACGCGGTGGAAAGTTGGCTGGGCGGTTGATAGTATGGTGTAACTACAGAGAGAATGGCTTTCTAAACATTTACTGATTTTATTTGAGGACGAGTAGTCTGGACTGTATGTGTTATAATAGATCATAGGCGTATTCATGGAGGTACAGAAAGGCCAAGGTTTTTAAAGGTAAGATGAAGGGAATTATGTTTAAATTACTTTAAATATAGTAATTCACAGAGTCAGCAGGAAGTTGGATATGCCGCTTCTGGGCGACGTCCTTGTAGAAGTGTTCTTTGTGTAAGTTTACAACAGTGGCCTTTGTGCAAGACTGTAGCTTTCAGAGTATCATGTTAATAGTTATTAATCATGGGCATGTGTGCGTGAAAGCCCCGTCTTCATGCTGTCATTTTGTTAGGGTTTGGCATAAGTACCTGCTTTTTGATTGTGACATTCATTGATTCATTGATTTCATTCTTGCATTCATTCACAATAGTGGGAATTGAACCCAGTGCCTTTGCACTGAGATTAAAAAGCCCAACCTTTTATTATTTTTTATTTTGAAAGACGGTCTCACTAGCTTGCCAAATGGCCCAGACTGGGCTTGACCTTGGTATCCTCTTACCTCAGCCTTCCAGAGTTCTGAGATTATAGGCGAGCACCACCATGCCTGGCTGAATAT